AAAAAAAGTGAAAAAAATGACAAAATTTGTCGATTTTTAAATTTGTAATTTTTTTGGATATTTCCCCCATTTGCGGGGAACGAGGGAAAATTTTTAAATTTTTAAGGGTAATGTCTTCAACTAGATACAATTTGTGATCTTTTGACGTATTGTTAAAAGAAATCGGTCCAGTGAGAGCTGAGAAAAAGTAGTGACAGAAAAAAAAAAAAAAAAATAAAAAAATAAAAAAATAAACACATCATGGTAAAATTAATACCTTCTCAGCTTCGCATCGATGCTAAAGTATTGTGATTAATTATTACTTTTTTTAATATTAATAACTCCACGAGTACTGACGGTAATCTATGACAGGTTAGTGGAGGCACTTTAAATGTCTAATCAGAATATTATAGTGGCTATATGTACATGAACCACTAGCTTGGTTCTTGCAATAGTCACATATCAAAGATCTAACTCTGTCATTTTACTCTGTATAAATGGATTTGATTTACTTTATTCAATTAATATGTTATAAATAAATATTTTAGTTTAATACTCAATAATTATAAATAATCACTTGATTTTCTTATATTCCTACATAATGTATGTACTCAAAATACTTTATTTTGTATTCAAAATAAAACTCTAAATCTTATATATTTTTAATGAAATATTAATCAGTGAATATTTCAAAATAAATAAAATTCGTTTTTGTCTTTATATATTGTGTAGCTGATCGCTTCTTGCATATAAATAAAATAAATGAATAGTGAGAGAGTTTATTGGTGTTTTTTGGACTATTAAAGGAAATTTAAGTTCTTATCATGTTCAAAATATGTCATTAACTTTACTGTAATCTCTTTATTAATCAATTGTATAAATGATTACAAATTATTTGTTATAGTTATTACATAACTTTACATAAAGTTTTATTGGTGCATTGTTGTATACTATTATAAGAATAGCATACAAAATTCACATAAATCACATACATTAGATTCTATGTCTAAAGATAATGAGTGGTGTATGTATCATAACAGTATTTTAAAATAATGTAATTAAGGATATTATAACGATTACAACTTAACGTGCGTCGATTATAAACCAATAATACAATGCTTAATAGTGAAGTTACGTAATCCGGATAAAGCTTCTTACATAATTACAAACGCATTTTAAAACAATGTAGTTTCAAGTGTTAAATATAAAAAAACAGTCAAAGTCAACTATTGCTTGATTATACTAATCGATAACATATTATTTTAATTAATTTCCTATAAACATGTTTACCTGCCTATTTCATTTTTTTCCATTTGTTCAAATAAATTATAACCCAATTAGAATTTTATAAAATATCGATGTTAAATTTAATAATATACCAATATTTTTATTAATTTTATCTAACTAACAATTTTTTTAACTTTTGATGCAATCAACATTTTGTTATTTTTTTTTATATAATTTAAAATAATATTTTTATTATTTGTTATAAATGTTAAAAAAAAAAATAATAATAATTTTTTTTAGTTTTATATTTTTAAAAGAGCCAGTTTTTAGCTCTTTTTTAACAAACATTTTTGTTGGATCGATAACAAATTTAAGACTAGAAATTTTTAATTATTTTTTCTTATTAGTGATGAATAATTAAAAATATGCTTAAACGTAGTCTACACCCAAAGAAAAACCTCAATCAAAATTGAAAGAGGAATTTTATCAAGGGTTTATGATAATGTTTTATTAATACGAACAAAATAACTATTCTTATAAATAATTATTGTTCAAGACAAGAAAAAAAAATATCATATTGATAAATATATCATTGATTCAATAGTAATGATATATTTATCAAATTGAACAATGAATTTATTATATAGATCGAGGTTTTTCTCTGGGTGTAGGAAAACAAAAATCATTAAAAAAAAATTCAACAATATGATAATTTTATCAAAAGTTATAAACGTTATCAATAAGGTCTATAAATGTTTAATGAAAAAGTGGCTGTTATAGCCACTTTTAGCCATTTGATATTAGTTTTTATTTGTTCAGTAGAGTATTTTCAGAAAAAAAAAATGGGCGAGTTGTTTAGGGAAATAAAATATTTTCTAATTTTATTCCTTCCTTAAAATTAATGTGATTCTTGAATTTTAATAGCTTTTATAGTAAAAAATATTATAAAAATTGTTTGAAATTTAACTCCCCAAAAAAATTCTGGTTGTCTTAGTACATTTTTTTAGTTTAATTCTTTTCATTGGAAGGGTGTTGGATTTGAGCTTTAAATGCGTATCTCTATTTACTTATTTTCCGTTACTTTAGCTCATAAATGTTGAGATATATCTTGTGTGACCCATCTCTATTTATAGTAAAAGACATCACATGGTCTACAGTAAGTCATATGAGTAATTGGGGCTGCTGTAAAGGTTGAGTACAGAGGAACAGAAAATGTAAATACGAATCCAGATATTTAAACAACTTAAAATTTATTTATTTCATCTACATTTAAAGTTTTAGTAATTTTTTAAATATAATACGATTTATACAACAAATTAAATATAGGAATACTATTAGAAATAAAAGCTCTTAAAAAAGGTCCTAATTTCCAATTTTATTTTTGGATATTTTAAGATATTTCAAGACTTATTTTAAACCCAACCGTTAAATTGCTGCAGATTTTTTAAGTTTATTAAAATATGTATATTTTATTATTTGTCTACAATATCAAACAGTGTTATAAAAAAAAAAATTGAAGAACCACATTTTTTTATACTAGTTATTTATTATAGTACCTAATGCCTTTTCTCTGTGAAAATATCGTTGAATAATATGTTAAATAATTATAATTAACAAATAATAATTATTGATAAATATATTGTGAAGAAATTTAATTTCTTCAGCAAAATTTGTTAACGTTTGATAACTCTTCAAAATACTATTTGTGTTTTATACTACAGGTACTCATTTAAATGCTGATAATTCTCATAGAAAAATTTACATACTACAACTAGTATTAAGCAAAAATATAGAGTTTTCTTCGATCATTTTTTTTACAGAACGTAAAATAATGTTTGATATTATAGAAAAAGCATACAAATTTTAACAAACTTAAAAAGTTTTAGTATTTTAACGGCTGAATTAAAGTAACAATTTTTGGTATCAATACATTTCTTAAACATTAATCTATAAAATGGCTATTTTGAAATATCTAAAAATATTTAAAATAAAAAGTTATTATTATATGCAATAGAAAAGAATTATTAATAATTAGTTTAGAATATAGTCTAAATCTGTAAAAATTGAAAAAAAAGTATATATGAAAAATGTAAGAAAGTATATATAAAAGTTATGAGAATTGTCATTTAGAATTTATTTTACTTTTTATATATAAATAAATTTTTTTTATTTATTGTATTAATCTTAACTAATAATTGAGTATATAGAAAATTTTAAGGCGGTTTAAGTATGCAATACTATAGCACAAACGTTATTCATTTTGTTTCGTCTTTATAAGAAAAAATAACACTATATGTAATGAGCCCAAATTTTTTATATTAAACTTACTTAAAATTAAACTAACTTAAGTTTAATAGAATATATTTTACTTTTGTATGTATATAAACATAAGCAAAATTAGACCTTTACAATAGCAAACAGTTTTGGGTTGAACATTTGGTTTTTTTAATTTTTTTTTTTTTTTTTTTGGATGATCTAGAGAAAGAAGGGGGAATCGGAAAATATAAGAATAGTTATAGAAATGAATGTTGAAGGAAGAAGAGGTAGAGAAAGCCAAAAAAGAGATGGAGGGATGTAATTGAATGCGATATTATACGCTTATTTTCTTGTAAAGGTCCAAAATTTTAGACCAGGTCATGGTTTAATTACCTGGTCTATAGTTTTGCTTATGTATATGAAATAATTATATTTACACATTTAATATTAAGTAAAGGATTTTTATTTATAACACTCAAGTAATTTTATTTTTATTTTTTTGGTTCCACGACCCTTTATGAACCATTACAGACTTTCCAAAGAGGACGTTTCTAGGTAAAAAAAGTTAGATCATACTACGGGATGAGTAGTTAATTCGTCGCCAGAGAAAACGACATAGAAATCTTCCTAAATACATTTTAGACCGTAATATTATATACAAAGCATATTTTTTATAAGAAGAAAATTCAAGGATTTAAAATCTCCCGAATTTTTTCTAATAGCGTATTAGAAAAAGTTTGTTAATATATTGACAGAATTCAATAGTACATATATTTTTTAAGCCAGTGAATTTTGCTCTAATTAAAATTAACAATATAAAAACTAATATTTTTAGTATGAGCGTGCGTAGATTGTTCAATAAGGAGGGAATTTCTAAGGCAATTTTTTTACTTATTCCTACTTTTACTAGCACCTAAGTCTTGCATTCTCTGTGGTAATAATTAGTAAAAGGGAGTGGCTATTGTCCTGCCTCTTATGTACGCCATTGCTTTTAGTTATTAATTATTAATAACTGAAAATAATAACATACAGTTAAAATGATTAAATTTACAACAATAGTAAGTGTAATCATTTTTATATTATTTTCAAGTTTTTCAAACATGGCGTAAATAATAAATGATATTAACATGTTTCTATAAATTAATATTTTTATTAGTAGTACAAATAAATAGAATTTATTAACTTTTTATATTTTAAAAAGTTAATTTTAATAATTAATTCTACTTGGATTAATTTTTAAAAATAATTTATTGCGATAAGAATGAACGATTTGTAAACTGAGCACATATTACAATAATATAATTTGAAATACAGAGATTGGTCATTGATATCGAGTAGTACAATCACAGACCATATGAAAACGTTCACATATGTTTGGTCTGTAGTATAATTTCTAGATTGTTGATACTACTGACCACTAGGAGCGCTACTGTGACGCGTGTTATTCGGCTGTCAGATTTCCACTACTTGGTTGAATGGTCTAGTAATTTCAAAATTTGCCCGCTCGGGAACGTAATCGTTTCACAAGTCGTAAACCAGTTGGCGGTTGTAAGTCCATCTCGCTGTACGCTCGTTCTGTACACGCTTTTTACGATTCATTTAATCGTGTGTAAATGTGCAAATGATAAGCAATATTATATAATTTAACACCAATTTATAAATTTCTTTTACAAAATAAATGTTTTTGATTTTTCTTTTCAATAATTTGACAAAGTTCTTAATGTTTTCAATTTAAAAATATGTATTTTTCAATAAAATCGTCCATGTTTTTGTGTCGTAAATCATTATCATTTTGCCTACAGCAGATTTGGAATACCTCTAATTAAATTATGAAATATGAAAAACAACGCAGTGAGTATTTTACTGAATTTTGAGTTTCAACCGTTGGATTTACTTTGATTAGATTACCGGCAACGTTAAAACGTTACAGTTGAGGAGGCGTTATTGTCAATTGCGTGACGATTTAATAATTAACTCCAAGATTACTATTATTGAAAAACGATATAACTCTTAATAAAAAAAATTTATAATTATATCTAAATAATAATATTTAGTTAGTAGCGAAGTAATTTTAATGTATGCGCATTTGTGTTGCTGTGAGGTCGGTTGGCATTTGCCCCCAATGGGATGAGTAATTTTGTCGTTGACGAATCAATCATTGTCGCAATAATAATAAGAATGATATATTAGTAATTGTTTGCTAACAGGCGATGCATAATAGCTGTTGACCAAACGCTCTTATATAACAAAGTTTTTTGTCTGAACTGGTTTAGCGATGAATCTGCCACTTATCGATGTGCCCACCAATTAAATTATTAATTTAATTATTCTGGCATATTTTTTACCGTTTTTTTCTCGCTTTGTCTTACTCAATTTTTGTAAATACATTAGATTTGCATTGGCGAAAATTATAATGTGTGTAGAGAGACATAGCTTCCTCAATAAGTGCCAAAAATCATATGTGTTCTCATTAATACACGAGGAAGGATAAATAATGATTTCAAAATTCGCTTCTTTAATTTTTCGGACTCTTATAGACTTTGACTATATACTTTTACAAAATGATCAAACAAAACTATTTAATCGCAAATGTTGAGATAACACTCAATGGCCTCATTGGGAATGCTTTTTCTATTTTGTATATAATATCATTGATTAGGATGATATTTTGATAACGATAGTGAATTGTGTATTTTCCGCGAGGGTCTTTTTATTGCAAATGTATTACGTAGACCGTTACATAACAAAAATATTATGCTGCATCAAATATGAGAGGAATTATTAAAGTTAACCCCCTTTTTGCTCCATACAGCATATTAATTTCAAAAGAATCATTTTTGAAAGTTGATATGAAGTTATTATTGTTTGTATAACCTTCAAAGTAAAAAAACATATTTTTTCATTTGTTTTATATTGTAACTGACATCGGTTGAGCTTATCAAAATCCATTGACATAGATGTTTAGCGAAAATTTATATGAAAAACTAAATATCTGTTAGAAATTTCAACGATGCAGTTATTTATCTGGCATGTTACCGTTTAATTACACTAGACCATTTCATTGTTTTTTTAGTCTATCGGTCTGTTTGAATTAAATTTTTTTAAATCTTATTGTAGTGTTGACATTTTTTTGGAAGCGGTCTTGAAAATTAAAAGTACTTAGACTACGTAGCAGAGTTTTGCCTTACATATTATATTATTAATAAATATCAGCGTTTCAAGAGTCCAAACCCTCTTTAAATTCGCTACTGATAGAGTTTGAACTAGATTACCATCAATTTTGTATCGTTTTAATATTATAGTAGATGTATAGTAAGTGTAATGTATACATTTTAAACAAACACTGAAGATGTTATGCTTATCATACAAAAATGCTTCTTTGAAAATATTGTGCAATTCATATAAATTGATTCTGACGAGTGACCTTGTTGGTTGTCTAGTTTGTTAAAAAATTAAGTTTTTCTCGTGAGTACACTATATGGTAATAACTTGTGATATTTGTAATAAAAATCGTTTTACCGTGCGCATGTACTATTATGTAACACATTATTTACCGAAACCCCCTTTTCGATGACCCTTTGATAAGAAGTTTCAAGGTTGTCGTTATGACGGAAATTGACAAATATTTAGCTAATGCTCAACAAAATTGTTTTCAATTCCACTTCCACCTTCAGTTTGTCCGATGTTCATAATTTATTGCGTCACGGCCAGTCGGATTTCGAATGCTATGTGGCTAATAGTTATATCATTGAGTTTTATTGTGTTGGTCCGTCGCAAGTCACACTGTAACGCCGCCTATATAATGTTTGCCACCGCAACAGTGTCATTAATCATTATAAAATTACCTGTCCTCGTATTACTAGGTGTTGTACCTGTGGTTTAATCGCGCAAGTCTGCCCATCTAACCCTTCAGTAATACGTGATATACATACCCATTGTAATACGATCAGTTTCCAAGCGGTTTGATGCTTCTTAACCATTATTGCTGAAGAATTATTTTCCCTGTATGCATAGTCGGCTCGAGTTTTATATAAAATTAATTATTTAATTAGCGGACTGACGTCATTCGTGAATCAATCCCCAGTTGTAAAATGACAAGGTCAGCTTGAACGAGTAAACATAACTACACAACTAAATTTATTTTACTAAAAATGTTTATAGAATAGAATTATTTTATTTTTCGATGTACTTATCTTAATTGTATAGACCGGTTTTGATGACTGACATTATTAACGGTACAAAAAGTCATCGCTGAAGTTGTGTGGATAATACTTAAGCTAAAAATATGACGGAAGTTCGAGTACAGAGAGTACAGAGTCCAATAAATAAAATTTAATTGTTACAAAATAATCAGTTCAACAGTCTTAACAGAGTTTTAAATCAGTTTTATAAAAAATCAGAAACTGATAAGTTACTATTAGTGCACAAATTACTATAACATTAAAATAAAATAAAAAATTACAAAAAAAAGGAAAAATTAAATATATTAAGGTGTATATAGAGTCGTTTTATTTTTTATTTCGTAATATAAAATTTGTTACAATTTAAAGGTATGATTATATGAGCTAAGCTTCATAATTTAAGTGTCTCAAGTACAAAATATACTCCATGTAAACTGAATTTTGTAAAACCCTACTTATTTTTGTGTAAGTGATACTCGTGGGCTAAATCTATTACAGTTTTTTTCCGGTCACAGCTACAAACATTGAATTTGAAATCATTTACCGAGCGGCGATGGTTTAGAAAATTTCAGGTTACATCAATAAAAATACGAGTTTCACTGTTCTGAAACATAGAGTTTACATAGAATTGTATTTATCTTCATAATTTTTCAAATTTATTAAAAATCTTTATTTTCATGTTTGACATCGTGAATAAAATAAAAAAATAAAACATTAGGACCAGATAAATTTATGATTTCATATTTGTTAATTTTAATTAATGGGTAACATTTATTTTCAGTAACTTGGGTGGTTTATGTTACTAGTATTATCTCGTGAATTACATTTCCAATAATTAACTACATTTGTAGTAAATTACTTAAGTTTGTTGACGGGATTTATTTAAATGCACAAAGCAATAAAATATCAAATAGTTGTTTTACTAGATTAAATTATTATAAAGAATTTGATGTTTTTAAAATTAGTCTAGAAATTTTATATAATTGGATATGTAATAGTGTGTAACAAGTTTTTTTTTTAATAATGTTATGATATTAATTTTGACCCGTACATTAATAGTAATCACCTGTTGTAAAAAAAAACTTTTTTTTATGCTTCTTCATAACAGTAGGACTCAAATCCATATAATCATCGGTCTAGGACATAAAATATATTCATAGGTCCGAAAAATGATCTTTGATTATAAATTTTGGCATATTAAGCTAGCCCGATTATATACAATAGGTATTCATACTCAAGAACTGACATTTTCTTTTTAAATAAAATTTTTGGAGTAGGTCGGGCCTTGCAAGTTATTAGACTTGTAAATTTATTTTTAATTATAATATTTTCAAGGTTAATTTAATTGACCCGTGAACAATTTAAAATTTTCATAATGGTTTTATAATTTAAATTTATAATTTAATAAACAGAAAAATATGATCTAAATTATTATCAAAACATTTATATACTTATTTTGTATTATACTTACAAAGTATACTTTATAATTACGGGACGCGGTTAATTAGTAATTTTGGTTTGATAATTAAAAATATTAGCATTAGTACTATAGATATTTTATCCGTATTAACTCATAAACAAATCTCATTTATATTGAGATAGTATACCTTTGAACCATAAATATTTTAATAAGTAAATTATTAACTTAGAATATAGAATGATATTAAAAAAAAATAGTTTCAAATTTGGTTTATAAAAAATGTGTTTAAAAAAATCAGTAGGCACAATTTTTTTTAATTAGGATTAAGGTAACATACAAATTTTGATTAGATTGGGTTTATATGTACATGTATCGAATGATATTAATTTTTAAACTTGTCACTGATAGTTTATTAAAAATAATTTATTTAAACAGTATATTTCATATAATACATAAAATAAAATATTTTTTTTAATTATTTTCTTACATGATTGAAGTATAATTTATTATCTTTTAAAGACATCCTACAATTACATGAAATTATATTATAAATGTAATTCAAGGTTATTTTAAGGGACAGTGCAAGTCTTGTTACTAACGATTTTTTTTTAGTCAGTCAAAAAATGTATTTAGGTTGAATTAGTAATATTTTATAGGGTTATTTTTAGATAGATATTTTTTCAGGGGTATTATAATTGGTATAAACACAGTAATCATTTTTTTTATATAAATTATTCATTTGAAAGAAGTAAAATTAACAATCAAACATTATCATATATAAATCATATAATTTTGTTACAATGTATATATATATATATACAAGTTTTTATAAGTACTAACATTAAATACGTTCTAATAAAATCATTTCCAATATTCACCTTGTGAATATTTTTAAAAATCGTTTTGGTGTCTGATCAAAGCTCTGGTTTTCTAAAAATATGTATTTTTACGTCACAATATTAACTTCATAAGTATTGAGTAAAATAAAAATTCTGATGCATTCATAGATGCATGTTTGGGGATACCAGAGGGTATTTAACACCTTTAAATTATGAGTTACCATGCCCAGTTTTTTAGCGATTTCATACGTTTTCTAAGTTAAAAAACTAAAAAGAGATTATTAATAAATTTTAATCGGCATGTTTTTTAGTATCTACAAGAATTTGATTAAATCTATGAATATATTTTATTTAGCGGCTAGCTACTAATTTTTTATTTAATTTTCCATTACGATTTATTATTTATTTATCTATTAATTTTAGAATGTTTTAATCAAAAATCAAAATAATTACGAATTTGGTCTTTCCTAGTAAGATCCGAAGAATATTGAAGTGATAAGATTAATTAATATATAAAATTTAATGTGGCTGGTTTATAATGGAGAAATATTTTTTATATAACAACGTGTTCCATTTGTAAAAATCGTTCAATTATTTGCTATCTATTGTTCTTTGACCGTTTTGGCCTCTATATTTTGTATATTTTTCTTTATATTATTATTTTTAGTCTATAATGTTTAAGATTTAATTTTTTTAGTTGCAATTAGTTATTTTATTTTTATTGGGAATTAATGGGAAATTATATGCCTATTCACTATCAATTTACTTGAGATTAAATGAAAAAAATAATACAAATTATTACATAATTTATATTTTTAAACAATACCAATTTTTTTGTTATTTAATCGTGTTTGACGTACATTAAGTTTGGATAAATTAAGGCGATATTTTGTGGACTTACTTAGGTATTTAATTGACAGTAAAAAATATTTCAACTAATAACAATATTTATTTCACACGATTTTCAACTTGAAAACCTGTGTTATATTATTTGCCATGATTTTTGACATGTAGTTATCGTACTAAAATATTAGTATGTGAAAAACAAGTTATGTAATATTTGGATGAACATAACACATTTCAGTCTTTTGTGTTGAAATTTCAACTTTATAATTATTTTTCTTTGGTAATTGATTCAATGCACATTGAAAATTGAAAAACTCATTATCATTGTATTTTGTTGGTAATATACACTAATATTGCGATATAATAGTTAAATTCTTATACATTACGTGTTTACTTCAACAGACGGTTTTACCTACTTGGCATTTCAAGTAGGTAGATCCTTAAATAATTCATCATTAAAATAATTATTCTATTAAATTTATGCGTTATTTTATTATTTTTAATATTATTTAAACAAATTTCGCACAAATAACAGAGGTTTTATAATTTTTTATTCCAATTATTATTGGATCTGGATTCTATACAAATTAAATAAATTATTTTTATACTCATGATTGATATACATTAAATATATCAAAATAATGAAAAAGTATATTTCAATATTGTTCAAGTATATTTTTTCCATAATACATTGCAACGTTTACTCGCACGGCGTCAGCTGCTGTTAATTAGATAATTTCCAACGTCTGAATGTAGAAATGATTTCATAGCTAATACGACACGAAGTCACTGACAATAATGTTATGCCCGTTTTGTATCATAATATAACAAAATACGGCTGAATTCGCATGATGACGAAAACTAGACCTTATATTGTTTATTATGTAGTATGGTCGTAACAACCGCAGTACATAATATGACCTAATATACGATGCGATTTGCATTCGATCGGTGTCGTTATTACGTCGACCATTCTGTAATATTGTTTTAGCATTTATTGCTTAAATTATATTTCAGCATACGACTAAATGAACAGCTGTAATAGTTATCTCATTGTTGCTGTCCTTTTCTACTCACAGTTGTAACATCTTATGAGTTGAGCCATTTTTGACACACAATACGTATAATTTTGACTGTAAGCAACGTGCAAATGTATTTTTTTTATTTTCTTCCCCTATTATTGTTATTATTATTATTGTTTTGTCTCGCAGTATCGGATTTGGTCGTACAAGTGTTACGTAACGTGATATAAACGGCGTGTGATTACTTTGTTCGGTGTAAGTGGGAGAATACGTAAGTGCTAGGGGAACACTCAAACACATCTGACCGGTAACGACGGCCGATCCTCACGTGTCTCTTAGTACAGATCGGCAGATCTTCACTATGGATATTTAATTTAATTTATCATTTATTTTGTCTGAGGCGTATCTTCAATCCGGTTTGATATCCGAAATATAATCCAATAAAATTTACATCATCACTTTGTTAATGTTTTTGCTACTATCAAAGGTACGATCATGCACGCCGTCGCAACAGATCAACATAATTGTTTAATTTAAGTTATTTATTTACAAAACTAGACCCAAACATTATAATGATGGTATCAAATGTTTCTTATTAAATGTATTTAGACCAAACGTTAAACGTTTTGAAAAAACCTTTCTAATAAATTAGAAGATTCATAAAATAACACAGTTTTTAGATATTTTCTTATATTTAAATTGTAGATTAGTCTGTCATTTTATATTTCATTTAAAAATTTAATAATTGGCGTTTTTTAACGCCAATTATTTTTCATCTTTAATTAATTATTTTTATTTGCAGGTTGATCTCAATCGTTTATAACGTTGTAGCCATTGAATGATTTTATGGCCGAAGTGGCAACCAACGAAAATTTTACCGGTCTCTATATCAGCACGTATGGGAGCGGTGGAAGTGGAGGCGTCGATGGTGTTGTACAACCGACAGCAGTCGCGGACGCCGTTTGCAAAATCGGAAGTAGTGTCATTGGCCATCAACACGGTTTTATGGCACACCGCAGCTTGGACGCATACGTCAAGTATGCCGAGTTGTTGGCCAAGTGCGGGAAAGTGTCAGAATCTTTAGAGTTATATGTTCGGTGTTTTCAGTTGGATTCGTTGCCAGCCGAATTTCTATGGCAAGTGAGTGCCGCGTTTGTGGATCTTATCCGGAAACAGCAGCTCTTAATCAATAATGGTGACGAATCGCGTGCACCAGAGTCTAAAAAAATCATCAACGGGCCATTTACCTGCGGCGTATGCGATATGGTGCTTCGTGAACCAGTCACGTTACATTGTGGTCATACGTTTTGTAGGCGGTGCGTGGCCGGTCCTGGTAAACCGTTGTGTATTAGGTGCGGTCAAAGGACAGCGTTTCAGCCGCACGTTAACGTACTGGTCAAATCGTTTGTCGAAAAATTATGGTGCGATCAGTTGAGGGCCGCTGAACTACTGGACGAAGGAAAAGTGCTTTATAGTCAAGAAAAATTACACTCCGCATTGCTCAAATTCAACAAGTCTTTTTATACAGGTGAGTTGTAAAATTAACTATTTTCTAAATTATTTTTCAAGTAAATTTACGCAAATAAAAATTGATTACATAATAATCTTTTAATTTATACGGTTATGAATTTTAGATTAGAATAAATTTTTATTTTACCTTGAATTTTTTATATTATTTAATTTGAGATTTTTTGTCAAATAGTTGACAGTTATAATATTTTAATTAATCTATGTAATACAAGATACAACCTGTTTTGTTCAATCGCTTTTTTTAAGTTTCGTGTTTGGCAATTGTACCTTAATATTAATATTTATTCTCAAATCTTCAAACAATTATTGCAATAATAGCAGTCTTTAAGACAAGTTTTTCAGCAATTTTAACCGAATAAGGAAATCTTATTTGGTTTTTATAACAAATCTTATTAGGACTCGTTATTAAAACTGATCAACTTTTTTAAATAAAAAAATACCAACAGCTCATTTTTTTCATTTTACTTTTAGTTTTATTTATGTATACATTACCTGTACTATTTATTGGCGTCCAACACATTTTATACGATCCATTTTCGTCTTTAATTTTCTTTTTTTATTTATTCATTATTAAAAGAATGTAAAAGATTTTTTATATAGGTTTTAATTAAGTAGCAAGGTCATTATTTAAATTCAACGCAAAATAGAGTTTGCTGTATAATTTAAATAATACCTGTTCAGTTATAGGTTTTGATAATTTCATAATTTTGTCTGTGTTAATATATATTATTTATTTATAATATGAATATTTCATTCAATATAACATAGATAATCTATAGGACATTTTAAATCTTTCTTATTGATGTTTTTTTGAACTATTGTTATCTATTTATATGTTACGCACTTAATATTTTATGATCTAAGTTATTCAATTGATTCTTTTGAAAAAATATTCTGTTATTTTAACTAGTAAGTCATTGTGTAATTGTGCATTATTGTAGTTTTATTGGTGATTCTTTTCTTGTTCAATAATAAATCTAATGGCATAATAAAGTCATAATCAGCAGATGAAATAACTCTTTTCACAGTCTAATTACTAGTGTTATAATAGTTTTAGTCAATATTTGGGTTAACATATATATGTATATTATTTGTTATTGTTCTGTTGGGGCAATTTTAATAGCATATATCACACAGGGATATATTGCAAAGTAAATATTATTGACTATTTAATATTTTACTTTATGGTGGTGGGTGTTTTCATTTTTCAAAAATTCTTAAGACAATTATTTTTTTAAAGAAAAATGTTGGTAAATAATGTTAAAAATATAATATTTGTGTACGAATTGTCTATACTTTATGTCAAAATTACATTACTTGTTTGTAAAATAAACTAGTATATTAAAAATATTATATTGACGTATGGGAATTTTTGGATAACTCCTTATAACGTATGAAAATATAATATTTTGAATCATTTATATGTAAGATTTGATATGTTAGATAAAATTATATTTAGTAAAAACTGTCTGCAATAATTTTCCAAAACATGTTTTTAAAGAATTTTTATTTTTTTCTTGGATCAACTCCAAATGGTCATGCTTTTGGTGCATACTATGTAATCCTCGATTTTTTTTAAATAATTCTTATAATGACACTCTGTGACACAATTAAAAAAAAAACCATTAAATTAATTATGCATCACTGGGGGATTTCAAATCGCCGAATATTAGAGGAGTAGAATCTGTATAATATAAGGTTACAGGAGGTTATCGAATAATAAATTTTATGGAGTTTTTTCTAGGATTTAATTAAAAAAAAAAAATTGTATTTTATTGGCAATATTTTATATGATTTTCATTATTTATACTAGGTAAATTTTTCATTACGATTAATTTAAATTCACGTGAAATAAAGATAAGTTTAGAAATGCTGTGGCGTAATTAGGGTTTTGTCTTGAGTAGAATATATATGTATAAGAAAATTTTTTACTCCCCCCTTCAAACGAAAATAAAATTGTATTTTTGACATATAATCACGCCAGTGTAGAATCTCTGAACTATAAATCACAATATTAATGTGTCATATACTATTTTTATGATAAATAATTTAAGTTTGATTATATACGTTGTTCTAATAATATTTAGTTAATAATTTATTTATATTTAAATGTTGTTTCATTGTTATTTTTCATTTAATTTTCACGTGTTTCTAGTTTTATAAAGTTTTGTAATAGTAATCATGGTTTTCATTGAATAAACACGAGTTACATTTAAAATGTTGATAAATATTCTAGAAGAACATTTTCGAGAAAAATAGTTTTTAGTTGTTGGAAGTTATTAAAAATTTTGTGTTGACCGCCTTAGACGTTTAAAAAAAGATTTGGCTAACCTAGATAACTCTGAAAGATTTAGATGATCACTTCAGGTATATGTTTCTCATATTTATAATTACTCGTGCCAAAATGTTTTGTAAATATTGTGTATTTTTCGGTTTGCCTATTTATGTTGATGATATGAACAGATACTGTTAATAATATTTATTATATAATATTTTACATTCTTATCACGTGAATATTTTTCGCATGACATATTTTGTTTAAATCAGAAAGTATGTGATAATAAAGAAATTTTATCTGTTTTTCAAATAATTTCATTTAATCCATTGTACATCAACATTTTGTTTTATTTAATATGATGAAGCTAAGGTAACTTAATTTTATTAAATCAATTACCTAAGCTATATGTATATATATATATTATATATTATTGAAGGAGTTTCCTTAGTAATTATATTAATATTTCTTTAGCAAGGAAAATATACATTTAATTATTACTAAATAATTGCACAATTTTAATGAAATATTGATAAAATCTTAACCTTATAGAGTACTTAAGGGAAAAAATAATACCCTGTAAGAATTCGTTTTGATTCTCTATTTAACTTTACAATTAACTCTGATTTTTTTTTATTGAGTTAGTTTAGATTTAAAATCAATTAAATTTAGGACAGTTCAATATAAATATTTTCAATGATTTTTTTACTGTTTCCTGAAAATTAAAATACTTTAGTCAAGGTGTAACTTTTAATTCGAATATAGTTTTTGATTATTTTTTAACCAGTGTTAGTGTGTATAAATGTGAAGTTATTAATTTAATTTGCCAATTGCAATTGAGATTTTCAATATAAGACATAAAAATATTCTCAAGCCTAATTGGCTACTAATCAAAATTTTATGGATATTAATCTTAGTATGTATAAGTATTAATGTTTCATACTAATAATTTATTAACTTAAAATGAATTTGTTCACGGGAAAAATAAAACTACTATTAAGTAATTTGTAATCTGAATAATTGTGTACGGATTAAAAAAACGTTTTACGTAATTATATGTTGAACAAGTGAGCTATGCCGCAACCACATAGCTGGGGCCCGTGTGCAGATAGTATTCCCAACCTTCCCCCTCGCTATAATTTAAAAAATAATTAGCCCCTCCAAATGTATGCAGGTTCAGGGCTCGTGTGCCTCGCAAACTACGCTCACCCGGTTACTGCAGTAATGTATGAATGATTATCATCGCAATTTAGTTCATATTTTACATGTGCAAATTAACAATTAATACCGTAAAAAGAATATTAAAATAATAATAATAATATACAAAACGATCTCGGAAAGTTTAGTAATAATAATTTTTATTTTTTTTTTTTGCAAAAGCATGTAATTAAATAATTTTTATTTATGAGTAATAACTATGTAATTTTTTTTAAGAAAAAATGTATGTGTTGAAAATGAAATATCAGTTTTAATTGACATCCGAACTTAAGGGGCGTCATTTCGATGTAAATGAGCTACAAAACAATTTTTTTAGCAGACCTTTGATTCAAATAATATACGGGCGGCAGAATTAGTCGGCGCTGGTTAATAGACTTGTTATGTAATTTCTATGACGTCGAAATCGTTTCGGCTGCGATTGATTGTGAAAACTATTTTGATTGAACGGAATATTATGCTGTGAGACAAGACAAATTGTTGTAAAATAAGTAATAAATGATCGAGTCCTTCAAGGGGAAGTTCTATTGCGATAGCTTACGCGATATACATTAATATGGTGATGAGAGGGGGACACACACGAAAATTCACAATAACTGATTTTCGTTCAAGTCTGTGAATAAGCAATCCATAGTTGTTATGTAACACGTTTATATTGTTATCATCAGACGACTGCTCGGTATTATTTTATTGCGATGATCCATTGAAATTCATTATTGTTCCACTTTTATTACTGTATAAATATTTTTTTGTGGCTACCAAAAATAAAAAAGGCAACACAATATGTTTGTACGTTTGTAATTTATCACGACCAGCGACCACATTATCGTGTTAACTTGAACGACCTTGTTGGAACTCTTCAATTACTACCGTAGGCCGTCTTTTGGTATTTTAAATCGCTCGCACCACCACACACACTTGTAAATGTTTGTAGAATCAAAATTTATCTTTTAACGGTCACTAAAAAAATATTCTCTTCGTAAATCGTCGAATTTTTTTCATCCACTACGGCACATTTGTTTTCAAAACTTTTATCAACTATTAGGAAGTGTTAATGACTTCGTAGGTTAGTTGAACCCAAATCTAAACATTTTAACGTATTTATTCTACACGTTTTTTAAGAGGGATTGTTAAAAAAGCGTGTTCTCGAGGTAGGCATACGTGTGTATACAGATTGATAATCGCACTATTGAAAATCTACATGAAATTTAATTTGGGTCAATGTTAGTCGAAAGCGTGAATTTTTCACTCGTATTTCTACATCATATTTTTAGCAGCATCCAGGTCGTTTAACTATGTTGCACCGACCATCGCTTTCACCTAATAATCTCCAAAGCATTGCAGTTATCGAATTTATCCGCGTGTCGTTTTATTTGTATGTGTTGTCGTTTTTATGAATGCCCGCGTTTTGCTCAATGTCAATGTCCTCTACATACTTTCAAACCACAAGCGGGAAAAAAAATCACAAACGCCTAATGAACTGAATTCTAATTTATAAAAATATTTTAAATTTCATCAGTTGATTGAAGACTGTATACTTTCAAAAACTTAATTTAAGTAAGGTCGACAAAATAAGTTTTTTTTCGAAGGATATTTATTTATTTCCTATACGTGTGCCCTCGAGTAAAAATTTACCGACAATTAATCGTTTTTCAGTTTATATTTACTTCGTTTTTAGCATGGTTTTGTTTGAGGCATCTCATTTCTTAATCATTTTCAAAGAATATTAAGATAATATTAAGGTCATTAAGTCGAACGGTATTTATACCATAGAACCATTTTCCTCATCACTATTTCACACTCGTGTACTAATGAATATAATACGTTTATCTACTTATGTAGACATTTCCTTTATAACAATTAAAGATATTAAAGTCGCTAATGAGCCAATATTTTAAACTGTAATTCTGAAACGACATTAAAATGGTTTACGTGTTGTTTATGTAAAGGCCGAGTGATAATCTAACTGTTGTTGCATAATATTTTCATTTGTCATAGCAAAAAACTTATCGCATTAAAAAATCTACCAATATCTAGTAAAAGTTTCCTGTAATTAATACAGTGCCTTGTGTAAACAGATCGAATAACAATTATATTATTATTATAATAGTTTATTGTCGCGTATAACGGGTGTGTTGGACTTGTGATGAATTTTTTTTGTATAACAATCGCCAAACGCCATTGGACAAAGTACTATGGCTTGTACAACTCTAATGTTAATTTGCAATATTGTGTGTGATACTATTGTAGCCGCGTGGAATATTATAATGGGAGTGCGGGGGCTTGGATGTTATAATTCAGTTAATTTTTTTTTTTTTTTTTACATAAGCTGTAAGTACACAAACACCACAGTTACATAAGTTTAAGTAATACTATTAAAAAAAAAAAAAACATAACAAGGTTTGTTGGATAATACGGGTTAGCGTAACCCACTAGAGGGCGTCGTTATAGGACTATAGCCGCGTAATTGCGTCATTGACAAACTTGGTACCAATATTACTCTTATTATGTAAAATCTTAGATAAAAACCAAAGAGGTCCTACTGTCAGTACTAGTATAACTCAATAATGTAATCACTTGCACTTGTAGCAAAATGATTGTGTTAAATATAATTGTATCAAGTTCAATTTTGATTAAAAAAAGTTATCTCCTATTATTATGTGTTACTTTATAATAAAGTAGAACTATATATATATATATATTATTTAAGTTTAATTAATCGATAATTATTGAAATATAGCTACTATTACAAGTTATAATTAATTTATTTTTAATAAACCTATTAATAAAAAATAATTAATTAAACAATGTTATTAAATATTTATTCGTTGATGGATATCAAAATTTATAAATTAATTAATTGAAATTCGATTGTTCTAACATAAGTAGTTAATTACCGTTGTTAGTATAGTTAGTACCACTGATCAGATGATTCTTATTTAATTTAAAATTGTTCTATCGAAGATATAACTAAATATGAATAATGGAAAAGTTTTTTAAATATAAGATCATAAAACTTATACTTGGTATTTTAAAGCAACAAACAATTTTTTATTTATACCAAATTGAATATTTTATAAGTTCATTAATAATTGGCCTACATATTACGTACAAGTGTAAACAAATCATTAATTTAAAATTAATTATTTTTGATTTTAGTTTTTTATAAAAAAATATATGCATCTAAATACAAGATGTATTTACTTCATAATTAATAATGGTTTTTTACTTCGTTTACCTGGATTTAAAAAAACATAATATACACCATTAATTCAATTTTTAAAATTGCGCTATTAGTTATTTTTTCAATAGTTTATAGGTGTGAAATAGACTGTTTTGTTTTTACACTTCATGTTTTTACTTAATTAAAACCAGTAAATAAAAATTGACTTTTAATTGTAATTTTTTAAATAACAGTATATAAACTTAACTTAAACATACAAATAAACTTATTATATTTTTGGTCAATATTTTTAACTGTAAAATTTAATAATTGATAATCTACTTTTAAGATGATAATTTTTCTAAAAAATCGTTAAAAAATAAGAGTTTTTGCAATATCACGTGTATTGAACAACTAGTTGAATATTGTGCGAATTGAATTTAGAATTAAGTATTTGAACATTTTATGGTAGTTTTAAATTAAGCTTGAAAATTTATTTTTATTATAATTAATCAAATAGAGTTGATACCTTTAATTGAATTTTTTTGTAAACTATATTAAAAATTGATGAGATTATTGACTATGAATATTACCTAGAATATTCGTATATTTTTATTATACTCGGCGACGGACTGGATGTCGAATTTGGCCTGGGAAAACTATGCGGCTCCTCATTACTATAACAATATATTTATAAATATATTTGTGTGTGTGCGTGTGCCATAAATGTTGGCAGAAGGTCGAGGGAATAATAAGTTCCCTTCTCAATTTAAAATTGAACTCATCAAAAATTAAAAAAATTAATTACTTAAAATATTTTAATTGATGGCTAAAGTTTGTCTACTGGTCAATAAGCAGGACTTTTTTCCCAATCTGTCACTGCTTATACAAATGTTAAAGAATGTTAAACACAATATACAGAATTATTTTCTAAATTTCTATCTATAATAATCTAGATTATAAAGGATACATAGTCTTCAAAACTAATTTTGACATTATTTTTAGGAGGCGAGAACTATGATCTGCTAAACATTAGATCTAGAACACAATTGAAACTCGGATTCAAAGGAGACGCTCTTTTAGATGCTAATCGAGTGGTGCAAATGCGGCCAAAATGGTGCAAGGTATGTAAATCAACAAAATAAGCTATTTAAAAAATGTTCAAAAAAAAAACCTTGAAAATTTTAAATGTTTATTTCAGGGGCATTTTACGCGTGGAATTGTTTTGCATTCAACAGAAAATTATCAAGAAGCTTTATTTGAATTCTCTTTAAGTATCATACTCGGCGAAAATGTCCAAAAAGTAATTCCACATATAGTTGAGGTGTTGCAAAGATTGTTACTGATTTACAGTAAAGAAACGGATGTTTCCAATTTGGAAAATTGGAATCTTATCACTCATTTTACGTACCTGAATACCTTTATGGTCGAATCTGACCAATTCAAAAGCTTACCAAATGTCTTATTTAAGGTATCTTATTATTTTCATAAATAATATATTATATGTTTTGGTAGCAGGGGGTACTTCTTAGTAATTACATACATTGAAATATGTTTATTGAATAATATGGCAAAAATTACATTTATTGGATTCTTAAAATAAAATCGATTTATGAATCATAAATATTTTTAGAAAAACTCACAGAATAATTCTGATACCAAGGAGTTTGATGTTACAAATTCAATAACCTCGTTGATCCAACGAATAATGGATGGAATAACCAACTTTAAACGTAAGTTCAATAACTGTGTTCAACTTCAAATACATTGCTAGTCTATTTCTAAATGAAAGTAATTTATGTGTTTTCCTAATAGAATCTTTACTAAATGTAAAAAATTGTCGTGAATTATTTGTAAACAAATCTCTATTGGAAGAATCCGATTTTAACTGTGTCTTGTGTTGTGGAATGTTAAAAAATCCAGTTACAACGCCATGTGGACACACCTATTGCATGGATTGTTTAGAACATAATTTTGATTACAGCTTTCATTGCCCACTGTGTTTGACTGCGTTACCACCGGTAAAGTCAATAAAAATTTCCTAGGTACACTCTGACTCGTTTAAATTGAAATATAACTTTACAGAGTTTGGCGTTGAGCAAAAAGAATAATACCGAATTTGTAGACGAGTTATTAAATTTGAAGTTCTTCATGTATGGACTGATGAGAATGTCTAATTGGAAAAAGGAAATTGATCAGGACAACGCGTACTTGCCAGTATTCGTTTGCACGAACGCTTTCCCATCCGTATCTTGTCCGTTGCACGTGTTTGAGCCCCGTTACAGGCTTATGATACGACGGTGTATCGAGTCGGGTTCACGTAGATTTGCTATGATTAGTCATTGTCGCCCTCCAATGAAGTAAGTGAAAATAACGTTTAATCTTCAATAAAAATTTGTTTTTTTTTTTTTACATTCTCAAGAGTAATATATTTGTCTGATTTGCATTGTTCAGATTTGCCGAGTACGGTACTGTACTAGAAATAAAAGACAGGTTAGTAATGGGAAACGGTTGCTCTTTTCTCTCTACTATTGGCACTAGGAGATTTAAAGTGTTGGTTAGAAAAGAACACGATGGTTACGACATGGCCAAAGTACAAATTATACAAGACAAAGAAGTACCTGAGAATAAATTAAAAGGTCAGTGTGGCTTTTTTGACCACGCACTCGAATATAATTTGATTACGGTAATGTGTAATTACTGATGTATGTACATCCTTTCTATTACAGAAGTAAGACAAATGCACGATAATGTACGGCAACGTGGCCTTAAATGGTTTAACGGTTTTCGAGAGGAAATCAAATCGGAAATTCTAAGAACTGTCGGATTTCCACCTGCTGTCGAGTCTAATTGGGAGCAGCTGGTCGATGGCCCTGCTTGGACTTGGTGGTTATTGTCATTGTTACCTCTGGGCGCCAATGTTCACGTAAGTATCATACACGATTTCAACAATATTAATTGGCCAATACAACTTTTTATGTAAAAACAATGTGAAGTTTAGTTTTATGTAATGATTAATTACAATGATCTAGTGTCAATAATGCTATTGAAAGTACAGGTTATAAATTGACCTCTTGAACTTCCATAAATATGATTTTGTTTGTTAGTGTTAACTAGGTAAAAATATAGTCGTTACCACAATGTAGGTAGTAGTAATTATTGTTATTGTTGGCTGTTAATTTGTGAGATTTCAGTTGAAAATTTGTTTTTTAATGAGATTACACTTTATACTTTTTACACAGAAAATGTTTCGAAGTTCGATATAGTGTAATAAAAATTTAATAGTTTCATTGTGCAACCGTTAGTGTATTTTATTATAATCTATCGCTTATGTAAGTATGCCGTAATAGTAAACACACTGATGGTTAGGCATGTCGCATTATTAATGAACAGTGCCAGTGTATTATATCAGCGCTTGTACTTCTAACCTTGACTAGCACGTGTTGTGTTTGAAGTTCGAAAGACGATTATATTCGGTGGTCTAATTATTCAATCGAGAAACAATTTTATTGCTCGTACATAAAATTATTGAACGATATAAAACGTTTTTCCCGTGAACCGTAATTTGTATATTTTCAATAATATTTCGCAAGATTTACTGAATCGTGATAAATTAGGTTACTATAAATTGACGTCTAATACGTTGCCGCTCCTCTAACATTTTTTTGCTCACCAAAAAATTTTCCTCGGCATCGCTAATAACCAAATTATTGATGAGCAAAATAAAAAAAAAAGGTTATCAGAATAAGATTTTATGCACGACTGAAAAAACTGAAACATTGCTAAGTAAAAATCCAATGCCGCCCGAGACTATCGGATCCACTCACCACTAAATACGTCACTGACTACAATTATTTAGTGCAAAACTAAGTTTTCGACAGAGCCTATTTGTGTTAACTTTACGACAAATAATGTAACGAATGTGTGTAATGCGAAATTCCAAATATTTATACATAAATTATATTTTTATTTACTACATACTTTCGTTATGTTGGAACTAGTAAGATATGCAAAAAGTTAATATGAAAAATGTTTAAAAAATATGGCCTGGTTAAGAGATATTCTGTTACTTTTCTCAAAAAAAGTATAGTCCATACATTTTTCATCGGGAAATTGATCGTTCTTTATTTGCGCTTTTGTTACTATTTTCAAAGGTTTCATTTTAATGTACCGAATAAATGATATCGTGAATACATGACCTATTAAGTTTTCTGCTCTGCTGCAGAATGGTCACCGCAACCATTACGATGACTACGCATTCACTTACAGAGCGTGAAATCAGAAGTACTAGGAATGTATATGCGACGGACGGCTCGCACAGTAGATTTCGTTGAAACTGTTAATGTGTTTGTCTAGCGCTGCTGGTACCCTGGTCTGAGATTTTTTAATTGTGCGCCAGTCTCGTAGTAACGCAGACTGTGTGCGGTCGTTGCGCTTCTAGGTTTCGTAGAATGCCTATGCGACTGCCGTGGCGTGTTTGCTAACCATGTGCCCCCGGTATTTGCACTGCTTAACAAGCCGGTTTCGCGCTCGAAATAGGCTTCTATATATTTTGCCAGACTTTCATAGACCCAAATCTGAATACGCAATATGCATAAGATTGTTCGATTGATTGAATTTATAAAGGTTTTGTAATTATTTATCATGATATTTAACAAATCCGTGATATTATTCGTTCAAATTTTATTTGTCAAGAATAAAAATCGTCTGATAAAAACTAATTTTATTTCCCATTTTATGAACACTTTGACAGTTCTTCAAAAAGAAAAGAAATCGAGAGTCACAGTAGTAGAGATAAAAATTTTCAACTAGGTAGAATTTTATTATTCTTCTTTTTTAACAAAATTTTTTTATGAACTACCTAAAAGAATCTTGTTTGATTTTACTGTCTCGTTACTCTTCGAAGGTATCAGACCTGAAATACATTATTACTTTTTAGTGTCTATTATTGTGAATATTTTTTAAATATCAACTATAATTAGAGATGTTTTATTAATTTTAAAATATGTTTTTTTTTGTTTATGCAGGTGGACCTTTTGGCAAACACAAGTATTGAAGTACGCTTGAAAGTCATTAATAAGATCTTAAGTCGCATTGAGCAAAGCTCACTATCTCGCCGTATTACTTCGTCGGATTAATATCAATTACGGTGATAAGCAGACATTTTTTATTTCTTGAGTAGTAATTTCTCAAAGTAAATTTTACAAAAAAAAAAAAGAAAAAGGCTACAATAATTTACTGTTCTTTACTACACAATTCATGCAGTTGTTTACTCAATGTATAGTGTAGTATGAATGCTTGTAATATTAAGTATATTGCAATGATTCTGTGATCTCTATATCTGGTCAGTCAAATTGTTGAAAATGGTGAAATGACATCTCCAAATATCAACCTATTTTTAATTTATTTATTGATTACTTAATATATTTATACTAACATCGTCTGAGCCTTCTTGACCTACCAAAAGCCATTTATTAAAAAATAACCGAATTTGTATTTTTTAGTATTAATATAACGCACAAAATGTAATTATTGAAGTACACGTTATGTATTTGTTATGAAAATTTTATTGTAAATAATGTGACGTTTAAATAATGAACATTCTATACCGGATTTTTGTTTTAAATTGCTAAATGAAAAGTTGTTAAGACAATCGTTTTTCTATTGTGCGCTGTGATAATTTTTTTTTTTATTGATAATCTAGAAACATCAATCAGAGCCTCCTGGGGTGTTTAATTAAATATTTTTTATTGGGAATGCTTACTCAAAAAATAATTTCGACTTTCAAATAATACATTTTGATATTAAAAATTACATTATTAGCGATATAACTAGTCTGTTTTGATGTTATAAATTCTCTAGAATAATCGAATTTTACAATTTAATAATTTATTGAAGTACAATTTTGTAATTTTTGTTACTTTAACTTGTATATCTTTTCCTTTACCTTATTGGATTATAAATATACATTATTTTATTTAAAACAGATAATTGATACTCTATAAAGATATTTCGATATTCTTTAAATTATTTATTGTGATCAACCTGTATGGTTTTAGTTTTGTTATACATTTATTTTATATTTAGTAATTACACGATTACCTAGTAGTGTAACTGCTGTTAATATACCGGATTTTTATAACTTAAAAATTAAATTAAGGACAACATAATAGCATATTTTTTTAGTTATATTATTATGTAATTATTATTTTTATTTATAGATATTAATAAATATTCAAAACACATGTTTTTGTTAATTTATCGATAACGTTATTAGAAATAATTCCTCTTTTCTTTTTAATTTTTAACCGTTTCGTTTACATCAATATTTTTTAGTATGTTTGTTTGTAAGTACAATATTTATACTAATTAAGTATGTTTATTTAAATTGAAATCAACCGGAACTGTGTGATGATTTATTGTTAAAATTATAATGCAAATATTTTTAGAAATATGGTTGAATTTTATGAATAAACGTACAAAAAAAAAGAAACATAAACATATATACTTATGCATAATATTACATGAACATTCTGCTCGTTATTATAGTAATTTAAATTAAAAAAAAATTATGTATAGTGTTCTAAAATTAAATTTCAAATTAAAAATTTTCTATAAATATTTATCATAGTCTCTATTCCAAAATCTAAATATTTGTAAAATGAACAAAAAAAAATTTCATGGCAACAAGAAAAATTATAAAATTTTTATCCAAAATCGTTTAACATGCTATCTAATAAATATAGTAATTTTTAATAATATAATTATAGAATATTTATTATCAATTGCGGAACAAAAATAAATCATTATCTATTATTTTTTTACAACTTAGATTATGACCAAATAGAGTTTATCAATTCAATTCAAATTTAATACTTACGACTTATTAGATTTTACTGTGAGTATGCTATTTAAAAATATATGTTCATTAGAAATATATATCTTGTAATAATTAAAAAAGTGTATTTTAAAGTTAAAAAAAAACAAAAATAATTAAAAAATGTATTTTCTGTAAATTACCATTATTTATAAAATAAAGATTCAATATTTATAAGTCTACGTGCCGTGATCATACAACACCGCCCGACACAAGTCATTACTAGGCTACCAAAAATACACAAGAGAAAGATGCATGAACATCAGTGAATTGTGTAGTAATAAAAATGTGTCAACTATGAATCATTTATATGGCGATAGGAGTTAGTTTAGTTAGTTATTTCAGAAAGATAAAGGTTACTAAAATATTTGTTTCAAATTTGTATAAAATTTAAAAAGTACCTTTATTATTATACTCTCAAAAAATATCAATTATGATATTTTCCCGTCTTCTCCAATGATTGAAGAAGACATTCTGTGATAATTATTACCAAAGGAATATAAACATTGCGGCAACTTATAAGCAGAGGGACCTGTATTCCTTTTTTGGCGCGAACCGCTCACTACCCTTGCACATGACATTTTCTTTCTTGTTATTTTTAATTTGTAAAATTAATTAACACCAAAGTTAACAGTAAAAACTACGATTATATGTTCTTTTCTACACCAATGTCCTTTTGTAAATATATAATGAATTCACAGTTGGTATTAACAGTGAATAAAATAAATAACAATGAACTTAAATCACAACACATTTTACTTCAATAACAGAGTCGATATTTTACAATTTTTAATAACGATGGATATTTCACTATTCTGCATTTGAACATATCGTGTGCGATGGGAGCACGTGTTTTTTATTTAGAATTCGGCAGAGTTAAGCACACGTTTAAAGATATAAAAAAGTGTATCTTTATTCGTGGTTAAGCGTAATAAACATAATAAGGAATATTTCGTTATTTCTCCGTGATGTGCATGTTTACTGATCACTTGTTACCTCTAAGATATATAATAGATCATAAAGATTCAGGATATTAAAAAAAAAAATTGTGAATTACATATTTAACGTAGTTTTGATACTACCATATTAAATTAACTTTAAGTTAACACGTTTGTCGAGTTAAAATAGTAACGAACTAAGTTAAAAGTTAGCTTAAAAAAGTATCAAGTTATTTGATCTAACTTTCCAACTTAGTTTAAACTTTTTGACGAGTTAATCTTCTGCTTTGCTTAGTATCTAAGACACCTTATCTGTGTCAACGATCTTAAGAGTATAAAAAAATAAAAATGAACTTGAGAATGAATTTTTTGTTGAAATCAGTTTTTTTTTTAATATTTAACTACATTATTATAAAGTTAACGGTATAAAATAATGAATAATAGTCTTTTATTACACGCACTCAAATTATTTTAATAACTTATCATGTCCCGTTTGGCACAGAGCTTCATTAAAGGGGAAATGAGTGTAATCCTTTGCTTTCGGTTTTATAGTATATTTGTTATGTATTTGAACAATTTTTTATTACTTCAAACACTTTTTGAAAATTTTATTTTAATTACTTGAATACTTTTTATAAATATTAGAATTTTTTCGTATTACATATTTTATTATTTGCAAGCCTCTACCATAGTACTTATGGGCCGTTTACAGATGTATAGAATGTTCAGTAAGTAATTTAACAGGTTTCTATTGTTCTCATCGTTTATAACAATTAACCTGTTTCCTTACTTTACTGAACACCCTCTTGTATATTAAAACTATTTGTAATATTTATCTGTGAGCACAACTTATTTACCATCGCTGGCGTAGTCGCAGGGGAAAATGAGTGTCATGTCAATATTAGAGAATAATATTTTTACTCAATTATATTTGATGTTGGTATATGCATAATGCCTTAAACATCGGGATATAATATGAACTTGTATCATAAGCGTTTATACGTATTCAAATGAGTTGCGAAGTTAGCAATTATTGTATTGAAAATTATTCTAAAAAAAAAAAATTAGTTTCCACCTATGATTGTCTTTTAATTTTATAATAAATATCTTATGGCTGAGAAAAATGAATAATAATACTGATTTTTGCTGAACAAGTTAATATGTATATATTTCTATACAACCTAATCATTATACACGTTTTTGTTACGGATAAATCGCATCACAGTTGTTGCTGATGAGAATCAATACCTATATTTATTTCTTATTTCTAAAGGTAATTAATCTACATAAATATATGAATTGTTAACTATTATAAAATAATATAGTACTTAATGTAATATACACAATAACATAAATTAACAACAATTACAAAATATTATGTTCGCACTGCTCAATTAAACGTAAGTATTTTATATGATTCTGCATATAATAATACCAGTTGTATGAGCATGTGTTTGACAAAATTTATGAGTTGGTAGTTACAGTAACAGTATTTTGACTAAAAACTCAATTTATCATAAATCATGCTTAATCATCAAGGTTCACAAATATTTTAAGATAATATTACTTAAATTGTGATACAAATATAAACTTTTCTGCAATTAGTTGCTAGTAATAATTATAAATTAGTAATTTCTATACCTAGATCACTTTTACTACAAAAATTATGTGGTAAAGATAATACATAAAATAATTAATAATGTTGAGGCTCATTAATCTCTAAAATTTATCATAATAAGTAATGTACAAGTTTTTTTTATTGAAATAATTTGTATATAATATAGGTGTATGTGTTATTGTAAGTATACATAAATAGTTTGCAAAAGTAATAGACGATGCAGTATAAATAGTATGTACAAAATGCAATAAATAAATTAAAGAATATTGGTAAAAAGTGTATGTTTTATATAACACTAATTTCCACAAAGTTCTACTTAAGTGAACTAAAAATATATATGTATGTACATGTATTTATTTTGAATGTTTCAAAGTGATGATAACGTTCGTAGCAGTTGAGAAATGCTTGTGTGTTCTCCTGAGTACATTGTATTTTAAACTTGAATATTCAAAAACACAATGTCTTGAAAGCGTTGCTCCATTGCATTTCAACGCACATCCACCACGATAATCTACAAAAAACAAACAAATCTAATTATATTTAAAATTTTATTGGTGTCTTGTTAGGAATGGCGCCCCTGAAAAACGGAAATTAAGTATTTGCTCAATGACATCATCAATTAGATTTTGTTTTTAATAAATTTTATGTAATAAACGACTGTTTGATTTTATTATTTTTACACGCCAGTGATAATAAGTGTAAAAATAATGTCAATGGACTCCAACAGATATCAGGAGTTATTTTGGGTAAGTTAATGATTAAGTACTTGCTTATTTTTACGTTTTTTCGTAGTACAGTATCGAGGTCATGAATGTTTAAAATATGATCAGAAGAATAGGATAAGTTTTGAAAAAAATTGTGAATAATTTAAAGACTCGGACAAGTATCATTACTGTACCCCTAAAATTGTACGGATTTGCACATTATTTGAATTCAAAGAATTGGGTGATTTGTACGATTTCGCAGCAGTTATACACTTTCCAAGACACGTGAGTGTAGTTGACGTGTAACTTATTTTTCTAGGAAGACGTATTTTTGTGTGACTAAAATCACATACAACTATTTTTGAAATATAACACGTTTTACGTTTATTGATGTTTTTATTTGTTCGTTTTTCTTTATATTTAATTTAATATTTATTTCCAGCAATTAGGTAGTTGAATTTGTTGTTTACAGTGAGCAACATGGGAGGTGATGATACGCGTAGAAACCAAATCGGCTGTATTTATATTATGCGCGTAATTTGTTTCTGTATTTACCTTCTTTGCTTTTCGTGATAAAAAACATATTGTTTATAAATGTGTCACGATGATTTCGTCGTCAATGTCGTCCTTCTCATCGTCCGTTTCGTTGACAGGGTCGTCGGGCAGCGGTTCCAGCTTTGGATTTTCTGCTAAACGCTTGAGCCGTCTCGCTTTGATGCTGTGCCTGATCTCCACAATGATATAGCCCATGAAGCCAACGAACAGCACGACGCCCATAACGTACAACTTCTTTCTGGCGCACAGGTGTGTGCTGTATGCGTACGCCACCACAAAACCGACAGATTCCCACAGACGGAAATTACTGAATGCTGCCTCCTTGTTCCGTCTGAACAGCGTACCGTAGATACCTGTAAAAAACACCATATTAGTGAATAATTAGACGTTAATAGCAATCAGGGCTGTTGCGTGTAAAAAAAAAAACCGAAAATTCAACATTTACATTGGTCATATGGGACATTTTAAACTGTTTACTTACGTTTTGAACAGGTTTTTTTTTTTAAGAAACGTGTTTTTTAACAACCCTGGTAGCAACGCGATATTTATAGCCTAATAGTTATTTCATTGATTTTGCCTAAAAACCGTCTGAAAAGTGTTGTGTAGACACGGCTAAACAGCTCAGTAATCCGTTATACAAACGGGTTTTATCCAAAATCCATAAAAAAAAATATTTTTAAAATAAAAATACAAGCTATAGGTAATAAAACAATGCGTTATCTGTAAACTTCTTCTAAGAGATAAAAATTATTACTCTTTCAATAGCCTTCTAGTAATTATTATTTATTTCCTTATGCATAAAATACACGATTAAATAATTTTCTTTAGATACTTGATAGAAGAAATACAATTCAATATAATGTTCATATTAATGATCAATTGATGTCCTATTAAAAGTAAAGCATTTGAAAATAAAGTCCTAGTAGAATAAATGGAGGGTTCACTACTTTGTGTTTACAATGGGTGCGCCCATTTAGACACTGTAAGATTTTTACATTTGGATATAGAATAATCGTCTCATAAATTATGTTATCGCGAGACGTTTGGCCAATTGACGGCATTAATGAGTTGTATAAGTAACTCGTAAGTTATTCGCTAATTCATATACCCACTTAAAAAAAATCTAGTCGAGACCATAATTCATTGATATGAATTACCGTGTCTATTCATAGTGAAATATCGCACGCATCAATACGTGCGTCCTTTTTGCGCAGACTTTAGATTGGAAAGTATTTACTATGCGCGCTGTGAATGAATGGCCAATACTTATCTAATTCTCATAAGTTGCAATGTATTGTATTCTCCGCGTCGATAGGTCAGCAATTGTAGTGCAATGATTTATGCACATTTACCAGCGCATGCGATAAAAACTGTGGAAGCACTTGGGCATTTTCGCAACGCCATTTGTTCGAGGAGGCGAACTATCACAAATACTGTCATCGGATGTCTTTTTACCCGTCCGCGTGGTTGTCGTGCAAAGCAAATCAACGACCGTGAACGGAATCGAACACGCTGTTTGGGTCCGAGGTTGGGATGGTCGCGAATAAAGAGTTCCGTTCCGAAGGTGATACGTTTTATCGAATAAAGTCGGTCGATTAATTCGCATGGAAAAATTAAAAACAATTACCATTTAAATTAGTTCCATACGAATGTCCAATAGGCCGTCTCGGTTGAGAACCATCGGAGTCGTTTCAATTAACGAGACGTATATGAATAGCGAATCATTTGTGTACACGATAGTCATTTGTCGTTTTTGGTTTGGTCGTGTAATATTGGCGTTGTTACTTATTTGCTGGGAACTAGAACTTCCGGCAAGCACTCACTTAATACGAATTACTACCGAGTAATACACGCAATTTCGAATGGGTGTGCTATTCGTTTTTCGCGTTGGGGCCATCTACATTTTTTTACTACCGTCTGTTGTCTTTATACGCGTAGCATTGATTGAAATGAAAACACATATTAAAAGAAAAACAAGCCAAATCCCTCCTAGTATGTGATAAATAATTTATTATACTTTTTAATGGTCTATTATGGCCAAATTGTCTATTTTGAATTTTATTTTACGACGGTGTAGTAAAACATTTTATGTCGTTACTATACTTGCACCTTCAAAATTATTTTCTTACAAAAGGCTATAAATCATAATCGCTTATTTACATAAGAATTTAATAAACAAAACTATTTATTTTTTCTCGGAGAAATCAAATGGAAAATTTCAAATTGAAATGTAATCGTTTAAAATATTATTAAGAATTCATTTTTTTAATTTCAATTTTTAACACACGAGTGAGTTTGGAAAATTACTCAAAATACGAGTTTGAGCCAATTAAAAATATATATATTTAAAATTTATATCGTTTTTGTTCGACTTAAAATGTCTCTAGTTGACCGGCCAATTTTATGTCGGTGCTCAACTCTTATGATAATATGAACATTTCTATAAACGATCTCCATTATATTACTATTACTTTTTACCAAAACTCGTTCTTGACGAATTAACAAGTTAGTGTAGCTAAAAACGATCACTTCATTTCTGGACTTCAATCACAAGTGTTTTTATTGTGTGATCGAAATGGAACCGTGTTCGCTAATATTGATCGTTACATTTTGCAATCTAATAGGAACAATAATATAACCTCAATATGCACAATGTATAAACATAATAGTATTGTAACGAGTACTCAGACTATAAGTGTGTGTATGAGGCTAGCGAAGAGGTTGTTGATCGTGTACATGTATTCAGCATCAGGGTGACGACAATGCAAACGAAGGAGAAGAGGAGGTCGAAGTTTAACTCTGTGGGATGTTGCTCAGTACTCGATAGCTTTGGTGGCGATCAAAATAATGTGCGCACTCTATACCTATCACACGAGATGCTGGTAAAAAATATACGTACCTTCACCGGTCTCACGTTTGGCAAGTCATCAGACCTAATAGTCCATTGTACGTGACTTAATACCACCGTACAGTCCCCAACATTTTTTTCTGCGGCTTCCACCTAACATTATAGCGCGATTATCTTTGGCCAATTATTAACTATGGTTATCGTTTCCGTTGTTATAATATCAATTGCAGTACGTTGTGCTGCTGCACATTACTTGTATAAATTAACGACCGAATCTGACTCAATAGACATAAAAACATTGGTTTTTGTAATAAGAAGATATTAATATTTTGTTTGAATATTTTCTATCAAGTATTCAGTGGTGTATATCGATGGATCTTATAGCGGTTTTATTACTTCGACTCGGAGTATTTGGAATTAATTGAAGATTGTATTTTTGAATCTTGTGAGATGTGTTGTTCCCGTGGTTTATATTAATGAATTGTTGTCCAGTATTTAGTTGAAAATTGCTCGGTAAATGATATCAAGTTTGAAATGATTTAACGTTCAGTAAAATGCACACGACATTTAAAATGGGAGAAAGACAAGTTGATCAGTTGTTGAACTCTAAAAAACAGTATACTCGTTGCAGTTGCGTTATGATATTATTGCTTGTTCAGCTTATCGAAAAATTTTCAGCGAGGGAAACAGATAATGTATTGTATGAATATATTCACGATGGATTCATAACGGTGAACACCAATTTAAAATTGTATATTATTAAAAAAATCTCTTGCATAAATTTCAAGTTCAGTGACCAAGTCATGTACAGACTTTAATGGTTTTCATCGAGTTAGTTGATTAAATTTTAGATTTTTATTTTTTTAATCGATCACTCTCATTTAATTACACTTATGAAAAGAATTCGCAATAAAATCGCACGTTGAAGGTTAAAAACAACGGCGGCAGCCCATACGACGATCATCGACCGCTTGAGATTTATTATCTATTCGAAACTATTTTTTCCTATCATATACAATACACAATGTTAATTGAAATATAAACCATATTGTAATTAATATTTTTTGTATACCCAATACAATACAAATATTGTTTAAAAACGCCGACAACTTGACATGATCACAAAAACTATCAAAATGAGTATATGCTAATTTTTCGTTTGACAAAAACTTGTCGAAAGAGTAATGATTTGTCATCTCTTGAAATAATTGTACTTCTTAACAATACAAATTAAAATTAACAAAATTGTGTCTATTATCATGTTTATGAAAATTGTCTACGAAACAATGATACAAATATATTGAATACGTCAATAGGGAAAATCTGCTTAACTTATTACGGTTTCATTTCAATTTTGACTTCAACCATATTGACTGTCGGTTTAGTTAAGGTGTTGATCTGGAGCCATTGAAAAATCTCAGAACAAGGGAATTGATTTTCATTGAATACTTAAATTACGTTGAATAACTGTACAAGTAGATTTTAGGATCAGACTAAAAACTATGTTGCCGATAGTGAAATAGTATTAAGTTTCAGTGTGGAATTTCTAACGGAAGAAGTGTTCTGAAAAATTAAAATCTTATATGATCGAGTTCAATTTATAAAAATGTCTAAATACTCTACTCCAGTTACATACCGACGATCTCTAAAAATATATTTTAAATCTAAGGATCCAAGATTCGAAAATTTCAGAATAACATGTTTAAATATTTGGGTACGTGCTAAAAAAACGAATTTAAAAATAAAACAATTTCCTAGTTTATGGAATTTAATGTTTGTCAATAATATCGTTCATTGTGCGAACCGCCGCCATACATCAAGTTTGTAAAAAATTATTTACTGCGTGTTCGCTAAATTGTATTCATATATAAAAAAGATCAATGTTCACATTTTTATTACTTATTGTGTCCAGGGCGTGCCGGGTACGTTCCAACATATGATATTAATGAATCTGCGTTGAAGTAACCGAATAAAAAAGTGACGCGGACGTCATGATTTTTTTTATATTTACACGAACTCATTTGACCATTAATTTGATCTTAGTGTAATTAATTACGGCTAATGAAACTAACTTTTCCAATCCTTGAGATTGCGCTTTAGAAAGAAGCCATACAAATTTTAGTTGGATTGATTTTATTTCTGCGAGGCAAAGTAGTCCCAAATAAAATGATAAATGAGTGTTAATTTTTGAAAAATAAATACCGTAACGTGTTTATTAGTTATTAGGTGATTTTAGATAGTAATAGAATAGCGTAACGAAGGTTATAATTGAAAAAAATGTATTCTTTATTGCTTAATATGTTTAGACAAAAGGATAATTTAACGATTCATTTCAGTGTGAAGATATGTTACACGAGGTCAAGAGTAATATTTGTTTTGGAGTTGCTTTAAAGTGGAATTTGGTTTTGTTATTTTATTATGTTAGATTTTGTCGGAGTAAAGTTTTGAAATTTTGTTTATTTGCGAAACTATTGAACTGTGCATAAATTTGTGATTAAATATTTGTATTAGAGACCTATAAAATCGTTGGACAGTGATGATGATGTGGCTAGGGGCAATGAAGTCAAACATTTGTATTGAATCAAATTTGTAACTATCGAATTTCAACATCTCGTTGAAAAGTAGTGTCACATAAAATATATGAAAAAATGACACGTGCAATTTATTTGTATAGTTGGAAAGAAAAATGTTTATTTGATTATCTTGTTGGTTTGAATGTTGAAAACAAATTAATTGAAAATGTATCATGACGCTTTCCACCGTGAATTTAAAATCGTTATGATTGTGACACTTTCATAGCTTTATGATAAATAATACGAGACGTATTTTTATAAATAATCGTTTCTTTTTTCGAAAAAGGTCAAGACATTTTATGGCGTTAAAACATTTGAACGCGAAGACCAACAATAGAAATTACACGGATTGTTTTCATGAGGTATAATACATAAAATAATAGTCAACGGCTGTCTTTGTACAAATTGTTCATAACCTACAAAGAGAAAAAAATTGAGATACAACGCAATAGGTGCGAACAGGCGAAAGTCAGTACTGAAGGAGAAGTCTTTTTTTAGTAATATTCACGTGGAATTTTATAACGACACGCAAATTTTACAATAAGCCAAAAACTAATTAACACACATGTTATTATGTTAAGCAGGTCGCACGCTAACTCTATGGCGTTTCCGTTATGATCTCTGGCCGCAGGGGTAGATTAAGTACGTACTTATCTAGGGTGTACTTAAAAAACACCGATAACCTCTAACACGCATGTTGCATTACATGAATATTATGAATTGCGTCATTGTTTTTATTGAAAACTTACTGTGGAGCCCTAGGTGATATACGTCGCAAAATTAGTTTCGCAAACGTTAATTTTGTACTTAATAAGTATAAATAAATACGTTGAAAATATCAAGTGTTCATTTGCAAAACTAGTGCGAAAATTGTTTATTTTTACAAAAACAAGTTTTGTTACACTGGAGTAACATTATATACTAATTGCAATGTTACTAGAAAACCAAATGAACGATTCAATGAGTTTTCATCATTTGTCGTTAACAAGCAAAAGTTTATAGGTCACTGCGGTAAACTTTTACGATTTACGTGTACAATTATATTCCGAAATGCAAAATAACGTATTGGCACACATAATATAATTGAAACTACTCGGACACGGTAAAAAAATCATCGCGTGCCCAACAGAGTTGACATTTTTGTGATGTGTCCTCAACACTGGTATATTTTTATTATTATTGTCATTACGTATTCTTTCAAGGGCGACGTTTTTCTTGTCACCGTGTTGCGTGTGTGCAAACATCACATGGTAAAACCGTTTGCTTATTATAGGTTTTTTATCTATTATTTTTTCAAAGCGATATTATTAATTGCGGATAATTAATATTCACCGCCGGAAACGAGCGGTTCTCCGCCGCAGTGGTTTCTATTGCACGGCAGAGATAGCGTTTGGTGTGAAGACGCCTTCGCGTACAAAAGGGTCGATAAGCTCAAGTACACCGAAACGGTTTTACGGCACGACCGGTTGTCTCGCAACAGGCCAATAGGAACAATATCAGAACGCCATTCGTACAGCGACATGGTAAATTGGAGTGTCGAGTGCCAAGCATTTCATTGCTTGGCCGTCTCGTACGGTCGCATTCTTACGGCGTCGGCCGTCGTTTCACGCGGTACACAATGTACGTGGCACGCGCTCGACAATCACGACAAGACCGTGTGACCGCACGTACGCTAAACGTTTTGGTGCGATCACAAGTTTACCGCAGGAGAGAGAGAGAGAGAGAAAGTTTTGCGCGCTGAAATGATTTTTCGTTTCGATCGAGGCGGTTAACGCGCCGTCGTGTCACCGCGACCTCGACTCATCGAAAAACACAAATGGAATTAACTCGTCTTGTAGCGTCGCACCAAATGAGATCAGCGGGAAGTCGAGCGGTGTGAATCCTTTGAAAATCGTTTTCCCATTGTGTCCCGGCAACGTCTTATACGCGCGTTCGGCTAATTCTTTTCGAACGGAAACAAAAAAACCCATTCATACCGCCCGATCTATGACTTATGAGTGCACATAACGTGCAGCGTATCCATGTAAAAAACGACATTTATCCGCAGAGGTCGGGCGGGCACTGATTAATCCGATTGTTTTTCCCCGTACGCTTTAATTGCGCTCGTTTGCCCGGTTTTCGAGCAGTGCGGTAATAATATTTATTAACCAAATTGAGCAGCTGTTCCGTCCGATACGCGCAGCGACCTTTCCGCACCAGTCACCGTAGATTCGCCCAGAGGTCAGTTATGAATAATAACTGGCCCCCTGTCATTTGTTTGTCGTTAATTTTCGCATCTGCGCCATACACACACGCATGCGGCTTAAAAAACTGTAACGCGCAACAATGCGAAAAATACCGGAAAAAAGCCGGCATTCGTGATTAATTTTGCCCAAGGTCGCCGGTACACTTCTGATGGGTAAAATTCTGTTCATGCAAATTACAATACAAAAATAATTGGTCGTCGAGTCGGCGGTCGCAGGGCTACGGCAAAACGGTAATGGGTATTCGCAATGGAAATTCATATCACTTTGTTAGCAAAAGAGTCACTCGTCATTATAACCGTACACGAATACGGGAGGCGTATCAGGAAGTATTGTACAAAGTATAGGTTCTATTAGTGACGTATCCTTAAACGAATAGTGGAAAAAAAAATCGATTTCCGCGAAAATGGCACGGGTTTTTTAACGCATAAACTGACGATACCATACTCGTGGCCGGCATTCTAAAACTCGACCCGAACCCAAAATCATTCCCACGGTAGAGTCAGCCCATTAGAGTGATAACGTATTCAAATCGATTCTCAATGGCTGGTTCGATAACGATGAACGACCGGCCCACGATACTTGTGATGTCAATTGTTTTTTGTCGAAGGCTACGCTATTGCTGGTACGCGGTTTCGCTGCTCTGCTGACTGGAGGAGGTCGACTTTATTGTATTGAGTTTGTTTGTTTTTATAAATCGATCGGTGACGGAGTTTTCGTAATTAATCAAATGCGTTGCACGTATCCGATTGAAAGAAGAGCCATCATAGTACACAGTAATTAGGGTTTTGTTTAAAGTTATCGTGTCAGTGGTTTTCCCCTCAAACGGCGATGCGCTCACTTGTGTCTCATAGCGGATATTTGTTCTATTGTACAGCAATTATAAAACATAAATGCATCGCGACTATTCTTGAAACCAATGCACAGTATAAAGTCATCGAAATTAGATAAATAGAGGTGACTTTGTTTACTTACCGTTTACTTGTGTCTGCCAAACGGCATCGCCTACTCCCCATAGTCCAGATATGGTGAAGAATAGTTTGGGGTTGTTTGGGTGCGGCCTCCACACTATGAGTATCCATATAAGTATCGAGTGAAGAACAAAACCCAACAACATCAACGGTATCCTTCCGATGTATTTCATGATGGTGCCGAACAACAACGAGCAAATGGCGTTCACTACGCCAAAACAGATCATTACATATCCAACTGAAGGTATTCCCAAAGCGCATGATACGTAAGCCTGCAAAATAAAATATATACCCTATTTGTAAAAACGTATTCGCATTATTACAGGAAAAAAAAGTAGATAGTGACTTTCTCGTTTCGGTTAAAACAAATCCAATATTTTTCCGTCCGTAGGCTACCTCTTAGAAAATGATACATTTTAAAGTATGTACAAGAATTTTATTTGATACTAATTGATTTGACTGGAAGTGTCTGTATTATTCGAGAAACTTAATAATAATCGTGAGCACGTTATTGTATTTAGAAAACGGAAACTCGAGCAAATTACGGTTGACAGACTGTGCACTGAGTAATTTTAATGTTTTTAAATAGAAGAAATTTTAAGGACGTTATTAAAGCTCATAATTTCTAAATCCGCTGGAAATTGTAACGACGAGAAAGTTAATGTGATTGACGTTAAACGCATTTCGTATTCTCATTAAGACAGGACAAAATAATAATAATAATAATAATAATAGTAACGATAAACTGTTTGGCGATCGAACACTGTAGAAAAAATAAATACCACAATTGGAAATAATTACGAATGCAATGACTGACCTGTGTGAAATCAGCTCCCATGAACGCTTGTTCCATTCCAATCCATATGGTGATCGGTATGAGAAGTTGTTGGTATGGTTTTTTTAGCTGATAAGCTGTAGCAGACAACAGTTGAATGCCGGACAATTCTTGGCTATCGGCACGCCTCTGTTTCTCTCCATATCTATAAAAATACAAGTAAAACACTTAGAACTTCTATTAAAAAAAAAACAATTATTTGTCTCAACAGCACACGTTTTGCTTTATACCGTTATTGTTTTATATATTATTATTATAATATATAAAACGATTAACTCGCCCGTGAGTGAACTCTGCTTTTAAAAAAATTCCAACATTTATTAGCACGAGTCTAAAACAAACTTAATCTTTTTATGCAAAGGCAAATAATATTAATATATACATGAAATTATAAACGCACAGCAGAGTTGACGAATTATTAGAAATTAGTGAGTAATAATTATTTTTATTTTCAATTAAATTGGAAGAATTTCGAAATTGTCAATTAGTTCTAAAATATATTATGCCTTTTGGTTTGCATATGAATTGTTAAAATAATTGGTCATAGTTATGGATACACAAAACGTTCTAATATATATTTCTACAAGTAATATGTAACAATTCTATTGCACGTCCAACTTGCTTACTCAATACCAAACAAATAGTAAGTGTATTGTTTGTAAAATGTTTAACAGTGCGCGAGTACGTAAGAAGTCTGAAATCACATGAACAATATCGAATAAGAAGACCCTGAATGTTTTTTAAATGTTCGTCATTGTCATAACGTATGTATACACTTGATACGGTTTTGCAATAAATACGAAATTACAAAAAATGACAACTTGAATTCCGCTATTAAAATGTGACTAAATCTTTCTATTGAAAGATAGTATGACATAAAATTATCGTCTGCTTAATACTTAAGAAAAAAATCCGTCGTCTTGTGTTTAAAAAAAAATCTTGATATTGTTTTTAAGCAGAAAATATTTTTGATACTTTTGAACTTCGCAGTTGGATTGGATTTCTTTTGGATGGGCTATCAGTAGGTGTAAGAATTTGGTTTATTTATTCAACAGTCACGGTTTTTTTTTTTCATTTAAATAGAATAAAATATACATCCGTTAAAGTTCAGGTGTTTAACGAAAATTCAATTAATATTCAGACATTACTAATCTACCTAAGTCAGTAGATAACGCCAACTCGAACAAGTGATATTTTTTACGAGATATGTTTAAAGACTTTTCAGAGGAAAACGTGGCAGTAAAATTTCCAATAATAATCAGCATGAACTCCCTCGGGGAGGTAATGGTATAGAACGACACAATGTACGCGGCTCAAATGTATTACGCGATCTTCATTTAAACTTTCTCTGGGATTGAGCGATTTTGTTCTTTCTTGATCTCTCGTACTCGAATAAAAATCATCTGAACAATGACATATGTTTAAAACGGAGACTAGATTAAAATCTCATTATGCGCAGAAAAAAAAAAATTAATTATTTACAAAACTCGCTAACATTACAGTTACACGAGTACTGTCCAAACTGGGAAAGTGCAAATGTAACTTTTTGCGATCCGTGACTGCATTGTCATTTCTTATACAATATTATCCTTAAATATAATTAAATATTATGACGACGTTAAGTATTTCATTTTTCTTTTGATATCACAATACTCGGGAAAATCGCCTTCTAGACCTCGACAAAGATAACTCATGTTGTACTTATATAATGAACACCCAAGTTCGTTATATAACTTTTTTTCTATTAACTACACTCTAAAAATTAACACATAGTGATATGCATTAAACTATAATGATAATAATATTTGAGTGTCTACGACTTCTCGATATTTTTTTAGGGATTTTATCTCAGGAAATATTTACGAATTTCGCAATATTTAAATTAAATAAAAGAATTGATTAAATTTTATTATTTATTTTTATTTTTACCAGAGAGTTTCAATTTAAAAACGATTAGTTCCATGATGGATGTTTCTTTCGTTCAATGTATAATTTTACCTGGCTGGTTAGATACAATTTAAATATGGGTCTAAAATATTTCATTTAAAATTGTTTTGTTGTCCTTGACTTAACTCGTCAAAAATTCAAGTATTCATTCGTAGTCACTTTTTATGCCTCGAGAGCAAACCCATAAGTTATTTAATGTAAACATGCGATAGATTTTTATTGAACGTTTAACTAAATATTAAATATAGAGCTCTTACCTTCACTCTACACTTTAAACGCCTTGAAAAGATGGTACCAACAAGGTGTACGCGAGTGTCGAGTAGATAAGTGTATCTCGGGGCAAGTAATTAAAACAATTTAGACCTTATGGCGGCCGTTTGCAAAAAAAAAAAACAACCACTACATATATAACGTGTAGAACTACCAATGAGCAATTATTGATATATTTTTTTGCTTGCAATTAAGTTTTAAGTTGGTCGGTAATAGTACTTCAATGTAATTTAGTCCGTACGGAATTATTTAAATCAAACCGCCATGAGGTATCGAAATGAAATAATGTGCTATTGACTGTGTGATTCGGCAGTATATTAACATGTTTGTTGTTATCTTATTGAAATTTGAATGTCCATTTAATTGATTCGATGCGTTTCTCTCAATGCGAAATTCTTCGTCTTGAGGTATTTTTTATCGGAATATATCATACTAATAGTAATTCAGCGACTGTCTACCGGTATTTATAATTCGCGCAAAAAAAACTTTTATGTTTACTTAACCGGATCGGTCCTTGGGGCGACATGTGATAAGGTCACATCGAAATTAGGAAGCGTTTAAACGACCGACTGGCAAAAAAACTCGGAGTTGTCGATTTATGATGTCTTGATTATCCTATGGTGTTTTCCGTTTTATCCGAAGGCGAAATTGGGTTTGGTCAAGGTGGATGACCTTTACACACTGTAAAGACGAGGGTATCAACGAGTTACGAATACTGCGCAGATATTATGCCTCTCGGACTCGGCATAAATAATCAACACTTCCGCACAACATATCACCTGAAGCTCAGCTAGCGTTTGATTTTGTGCACTTGTTCGGATTTTGTAGAGCGTTAGAATATCGGTGTTGTAAATTTAGTCATTAGTTGTCATAGTCGTTGAATGATAACAACTCAGAAAATCACCGTTGAACAACGTGAAGCTGCAGAGTTTTGATAATGTTAATAAAGTATGCACTGGATGTGTAAAATTGTACGCAAGGTTGTTGGTCGATAACGGTAAGCGCACATGTCGCGGGCACCATGGACGTTAATGGGTTAAACTATCGGGTCGAATAATCCAGTGGACTTGTCAAGGTCGAACAACATACTTTGCTCGTACGGGCAACAGTCTTGAATTAGCAAAACATAACAAATGACCACTAGAGTCGTGTGACTGTCACACTGTGAAATAATTTATTCATTATCTATGGACCCGGTGGAGTCCGTAAAATTCACCGTAGACTAGTAAGTATGAGACGATGAGCAGTAGGTATTACCGGAACTTATCGAACGTAAACTATTGAGACTTGTTTTTTGGATAGAAAGAAAGACAGGGCATAAAGTCTTCGAGATGGTTTCCACTCCGTAAGATAATTAATAGCTCTCTCTACTGTAATATTTAGAATATGATAAACGTGTTAAAATATTCGAGTGGTGGCGAGTAAGAAAAATTTCGCTGTGTAAGGTTACCAAAAGTATTTGAAATTATTGAAAGCGTGTAAATATTGGATTTTAAGTGACGTTAAAAACTACTAAAAAATTCACAAAAATAACTAACAACTCAGCCTGACGATTTTCCTAAATTATTATGCCGTCGAATAGACAGAAACGTAATAAAGTGTGTGTGTGTGTGAAATAATTACAATTTCAAGCCGGTTCTGCACGTAATAATTAATTTCGTTGGACATACATTGTGTTTACTGTGAAATCATTTTTTGAAGAGATTGAAGTAACGCAAATTTTTTTTTATTCTCCAATAATTATTCATAACGGTCTCTCGGGAGTGCATCGTACAAGGTCATGATCACAGAATCCGCCCAATACTCGTTTGGCCGAATAATTCATACAGTTATTTTATTCGAATGTTCTGTTGCTTACACTTGTATACGACGGTAAGCTGTCTATTTCATTCCAGAGGGTACTAACCAAATCTTTTATACGATCGAATAACCTTAATTTTTAATTTTCTTAGTTTACCACTTGGTTCAAATGTTATTCTAAAGGGATTACAACACTACCGCTAATATTTTATTGATAAAAAGGGTTAACGACGCTTTTATCAGGATTAAAGATAAAACCCTGGAAAAAGTATTACGATGATTATTTTTGGGTTTCGATATAAAAATACGAAAAACGCGTAATTGATGTATGACATTGTGCATTTACAAAACGGTATAGACAATGGGGAGAACTGCGCTCCTTCTGTGTAAGATGTTACATGTGTACATTAGTCGTTTTATTGTGCATACTCAATCATCGTTCGGACAACGAATTCCGTATGCGCCAGACGTGTAGGAATCTCATAAATATGCGCGCAGCGATGCTCTTGCAGAGCTGAACAAAAAACTAAAATAATCGTTTTATTATTTACCTGGACAACGGATCTAAAAACACGGCTATGATTATAGTGGCCATTACTATACAGGTCAAGTATATAGTGCTGATCTCAAATATTTCCGAGTCGGGTGGACGCTCCAAGTTGTCGATGGCCTGGTTGCCCATCACACAGAAATTGGAACCGCACAAACGAAGTTCGTCTTCCGATAGTGACGTGCTGTTGTCTTCACCGCCACCTCCGTGCGCTCCACTAGACAATACTGTGCAAAACAAAAAGTCCCGTTACTCATAAATAATTATACTCATATTTATTGCGAACTAGAGTCGTAAAAGTCTTCCGAAACGTGTTAAAAGTTTTCAAATCTTACATTTTTTTTTTACTGTAAAGTTTAAAATTGTTATTTTTCCTGGCGACACGTTGCAGATTTACTTAAACCGATACGTAGTAAGTGAATGCTCTAGGTCTATTATCTTGAATAATTGGTGTTATTCGAATAGGAACGCTTCTTTTACAATATTAACTTTTGGTGTGGGTGAAAATAAATGATAATAATGAATTATTTTGATATCGTTTAATGACCGACTAAAGTCTCAGAAAATTATTTCTGGGTAAACTGCAGTGTATAGGGTCAAATACTACTTTGCGAGTTAATTAAACGCGCTTAATGATTTCGACATACATACACGAATGTTAACAAAATATTTTGTTTCTATAAAGTGGGGGAACACAAGTAGTAATCATATTTATCCTTGACATTTATTAAAGGGGTGAAGTTGTATTAACCCATAATTTGATATCACTGACCATAATATTTTTTTTCTGCAAATCATTCATCTCCTAACCTTTTCTGTATTTTTCGAGAAAAATATTTCAATTAGAATTTTATTATGTTTATTTTTTGGTCGATATGATAAATGATTGACTACTATTGCTGCATAAGGTCGTCGAGATAAATATCGAGTACTGCGGTAATCGATGGTCATTAAGCAAAAATCTAACTAGGACGGAAAATTACTGGGGTGTAAAATAAAAGCCATATAGATTTCACGTAATCTCACGGGTAATTCACCATTAATGATGTGACTAGTGACATAGATTATAAGGATGGTAATTCCTATTGTTATTGATCGGGTTTGTGTAGAATAAAAATTATACGATAATTACCTAGAGAAGAGATCAAATTCCCCCAAAGCTCTGCCGTTTGCCAGGCGAGGAAGAAGAAGCCGAAAAATCTGACGACGATACCGTCGACTTGTTGGTCGGTTAGCTTGGCGTAAACCGCTCCGGTCTGGGTCAGATACGTTGCTTTGGCTGCCCACATAGGTGCCGCGCCAAGACCTACCAGGACACCGGCTGGTACGAGCGTGTAAAACCTCGGGTAGAACTGGGCCCCGATATACGGAGCGTAGCACAGAAGCGACAAACACAGCGTCCATTTGACGGTTAGTCGCTTGATGAGGAACGTTGGTACGAATATGCAGCTGACAACGAGGGCTGCATAAATGGCTGATAAGGAAACGGTACCTAGACCTTCGCGAGCGTTGATTGAGCTCTGCAGGTTAGCCGTACCCTGGAAAGCGGTAAACTGTACCATAAATGCCAAGCTTATGACGGATACATTTTTCAGGATCCGCCATTTTTCTTTGGGTGACATCTTGAATTTGCCTTTTGGCAATTCGTTGCCGTCATCTTCGCCGATTGGAGGTGGTTTGGACAGTCCGTTACCCGAAAGTTCATCTTGTTTGAATCCTTGGTTATCGTATCCGGCTCCAACGGATATCGTGTACACAGCTACATCTGACGACTTTTCTTTTTTTAGTTTCGTCCGTTGGAATATGTTGCTGTCCACGCCGAAGCTCTCTCGGCGGTCAGCGGACGCAACCATTTCCGATTATCTAAAAGCGACCCTGGAAAACACAACCGAAATGATAAGTCATATTAAAGTCCTTCTCGCGACAATACAATGGAATTTAAAGGACGTTCATACTTGTAACATAGCGGTAATTTTTTAAAAATACCGACCTCGGTTCACCGTTAACAAAAAATCAATTTAAATACCCAGTGTGAGGCACATAGTAAATAATAATAAAGTGTAATTGAGAAAAGCCGCTTTTGAACCGGTTTTCGCAAATAAAAATAACAGTGAGCCATATATTTGTGTACCTATCTATAGGCGTTATAGTTTAAACGAGCGTGATAAAGTACCCAGTTAAGTCTATGGAATTCGTTTCTATATTCTCCAACACGCCTTAGTTGATAACACACTGTATGGTCGTTTCAAATAAAAGTTATAAACATACAGTATCGTGTAACTTCAAACTTCCGTTATTACATCACAAAACTTTAAGTAACACTCTATTTCCTAGTACGTTTTGATTAGAACTGACATACTTAAACAATACAGTTACCTATACTTCACTAGGTAACTTACTTACAGTTTTTATTGATATATTTTTACCTGGAAACTTTTTTTTTCTCCGTATGAAATCCTTCAAAACTTTATACAGTTTTGGTAGTCTCTACGCGCAGATGATAAGAAAATTATTTTTATGAGTAAAAAAAAAAGAAAGATGGATGACGCGTCTGTTAGTTATTGACATGAACTCACTCAAGTCACGACAAAAAAAAAAAATCGCTCTTAATCATGCAAATTCGATGAAAAGAAAAAGTGTGATAATAATATAATACACTCATATTAAGGTGCACATTTTTCACGGTTACACATGAATATTACACACTCGAACAGTTTTACGACATGCAGAGTTGTTTTTCTCGTTACGCGTTTATTAGAATATTGTATTTTTTGTCTCCCACATTTCCCTTCATCTCCCTGCATTGTTTAATGTTTCTAATCACTACATCTTAATTAAAAACGATATTGTATCAAAGCGAGCAATTATAAGCTAAAAAGTCATCTGACTGAATCGTGATCTCTCATTTTATGTTTAAACATTCAAGTTCAACAGTAAATTATGTTACTTACATTTTATTAGGATATATGTGTTTTATCGAATCAATATCGAGTTCATAGAATTTTATGCAAATCTCATTTTACATGTTCGTAACTTACTGTTGCGGTTTTTAGTATTATTATTAATGGGTTTAATAATTTATATTATCGTTAAGAGTAAAATCTGAAAACAATAAATTTATGACACTTCAATTGTAACTGGGGTGTAAGAACTATTTGCTTGGTATTTGTATAATTGAGCAACACCTCTTTGGTTAATACATTTTGCACATAGTTCGAGTTCTTATCGACAAATTGGCGATTTAGTAATCACGTACATCAAATTCATTGATAGTGTGTATAACAACGGTAACGATAATTAATATGACAATTATGAGTGACTTTAGTGTATAACGTACCTTTAATTGTTGACCGTTATTGTTGGTTCTAATTAATAGTGGCTATTAAATAAAAAGCTTATAGGCACTTGAGGATTTCTTTAATTATTGTTTAATTATTAATAATTTTGAAATTTATTTTATTATATTTTAAAATTTAATAATAATTTAATTACATGCAAGAAGTACATTAATAGTTTTAGGTCGATCCTACAAAGAAAAAAATTAAACATATTGTTAGGCCTTTTAAAAATTAGTAATCATATGTATAAATATTCATATAATCAAATGAACCCTGGACGAGTTTAGTCCATAAAATGCGGTTTAAAAAATATAAATCGATATGTTTACCATACAGTTTTATAAAAGAGCAACTGTAAGTGGAGATGTTTGGTAAATGACTTGTATATATATATATATATATATAGAATGAATTATGAACGACATTAAACGATTGTAATTATAGAACTTTATTGATAAGTCATCCTACATTAGCCATACGAATTATCACAGTGTTAAATGAAACATTCGAGACAGTTAAGAGTAATTTAGCTGATTTTCGAAATTAATAATAGCTGCATCTTGTAAATAGATTGAACTCAACCAGTGAAGCGCTGTTGACATTGTCTGTTTAGAAGGGCGTTATGACACACTAATACTGATTTAACGAAATTAATAAGCATATTGAGCAAGTAAAAGTATTTGCTGGGTCATCATCATCATCATCATTATCATTATTATCTGCTATGTTAATAAAGTAATGGACGTGCAAATAATACTCCAGACGATAAACCTAACAAACGGTCGGCGATTAATAATTTTTATCATTGTAAACGGTTTTAACCGAGAACATTTTTCAAAATTTATCTTGGTACTTAAAATTTTTCTCTTTGTTTCTTTAAAAATGCTTTCCTCGAGAGAGAAAACAATTAGTTTTTGAAAAAAAGAATAAAATAATTATAAAAGTTGACGAAAAAAAAAATTCAATGACTCGTATGGAAAATTTGACTGATCTTGAAAATTAAAAAAACAGTATTTACAATAATTTTAATGATATTTAAGTCATTTGATAAATCTTGGACAAAACATCAGATAATGAATACTATGGCACCTATTTATCTGTAGAAGAATTGTTTATTGTTGTTACGCATTCAAAGCGTTTGTTTACAAACACCAATGGATTTAACACACATTCTCTCGTGTGTTTATCGACGACAGACAAGGTTAAGAAATTTAACCCGGCAGCGGTATTGGTCAAAAAAATATCAAGCTAATGCTTTCTAAAATTACTATAAAATATTTTACGCCGTGCACAGTATCGAGCAAATATTTTTTTTGAGTTAATGCGAATTCAAAAGTAAACAACGTTGCGAAAATTCGCTGATCGCCAGTTTGTGGTCCGTCAAGAGTGAAATTGATATAAAACGAGTGATTTCAACTATTTAAATACCCTCGGGCCCAACGGCAAACAAAAATAATAGTTTTACTAGAAAATATTATTATCAAATGTTGTTAATAGAATTTTTCAACGGCCTGGCTGTCATCGCATTATGTAAATGCATACCACAGTTAATAATTGTTATTAGCTGAGGGATATGATGTTTACGCGGCATTGGTAATCTATTGAGCATATTTTACCGACGACCGTGTACGTTATAATATTGTGTTCGTCGGCGAAACGCTAAATTTCTAAACACGTTTCTATACTCTTTTTGAAGCACAATAGTTTATCTTGCGAAAACGTGACTCGATCGGTTTGGTTCAACTGTTCCCGTACAACTTTTAGCTGATACAAAGACATATTCAAAGCTCGCTGTATTCGTTTCTAGAAAATCTTCAAGAACACGTCAGATGTATTTCTCGTGTTTTATTTTTGTTTGTTTTATAACGTCTTATGGAAAACGAAACCGCCCACTATTTAGCTAAAACAATTTAACCGGCACAATCCGAAAAATTGTGTTTTAGAAACACTATTTAAAAAAAAATGTTGATAGCAAATCATACAACCTTGTATACAACACATAACAATATTGTTCGTTTGCCAAAAATTGTAAAAAATTATGTCAGCCTTAAAAAAAAATAAGGTGTGATTTACCGAGAAATGCTAGTCAAAGTATGTGTTGCAAGGTCTTTATGGCGATCTCTGTATTACTTTACAATACTAACTAATAAGTCGTTGAAAAAATTATTTTCAGTTTACCAATAACTGTACCGAATACACAAAGCTTTTGAACTAATTTTACGGTCTTAACTTAAACAATATTTGACTTTCTTGTATTATTTAACTTAAAAGTAAGATTCAAAACATATTATTATGTTCCGGTAGTGATTACTTTAAGACACGAGGAGGGTGAAGTGCGAAATATTAATGAATATAATTTAATAATGTGCTTTAGGTTTTTACACGCAGATCATTACTATTATTTTCGATTTATCGTTGATTATTCACAATGTCTGATTGAAAATTTGGAATTGAAATATTACTACTTTGGTTAATAATGTAAATTAGAGTATTGATAATATTGTTATTCTCTTCAAAAGGTGTGGTTTTTCTAATTAGTTTTCTATTGTCTTTATCGACCAGTGTTTATTGATAAAAAGTTATGTACATAAAAAATCTGCTAACATTGATGTAACTTTATTAGGTATCGTTTTTAATTAAAGGTTGGGCAGCCCGTGTTATGAACCAAGATGGTGTGAACGCATAACAGAGCACGTCATGTGTTATTACATCGATGACAGGCGACGATCACGGCAAATGTTTACGTCGAGTCATTGACGCCGCTAATGTTTAAATCGCTACTATAATATAAGATGCGAAACACTATCCATTAAACTTGAACCGTAACCAAGGTTGATGCCATTATTTCGCTCGGGTAGTGTAGGTTATTGCGCGAACAGAACTGCTTGTAATTTATTTGTTCGGTCATATCCTGTGCTTTAGAAATATCGAAGAAAAGAAAATTAGCAGTGAAAACATAACGAATACAATACACTACCGAGATCATGTTTTGGCTAATGCCCCAGATGATTACTGATGACGGTATAGCTAGAGGATAGGCTTCCAAAGAACTTTAACGGTCGCTGTTGTAAACATGATAACAATATACCACCACATTAATCAGTTATGGAATGTCAGTGAAAAATAATCGTTTTTACCGTGTATACGGTCGTTTTGGAAATTGTATCAAATTTTGATCTACTTATCTGCTTTGATTATAATTTTTTCCGATTTCATTAAATGACAGGAATAAATTATAAAATGACAATAGTAAAACATTTGAATTTCAAAATTCAAGTTCATATTATGTTAATATTTCGAATATTTATTTAATGAAATAACAAATTGAAACTGTTTAGCCTACGCAAAAAATTCATAAAAATATTTCGTAGTGTAAGGTCACATTACATTATGATTTTATCATTTATTGTTTCGGAAGTGTACCATATTTTTACTGTATATGACCACGAATAAGGTACACCGATGATAATGTACGTTATTGATTCAACTAGGGATGAAGGTTACTGTAAGATATTGTAATTTAGTATGTAAAATTAATGATAGTGGTTTTAATTTTCAATTTGTCAATGTTAAACAGTAATTTTGAGAAAAATTTACATTCCATTCCAAAGTACTCAATAATACATTACGCGAACTTTTGATTACACGTGACTAACAGACAAGACATTAATTCTATTACTTTAAATTGTAGCTGAAAGACTTAAAGTATTTCAACGTGTCACAGCTGTGTCAATAGTTTAAAGTTATAAGTATAATCATTTGAAATGGAAACGTTTTGTATACTTTAAGATATCGTTTTAATATTATTTGTGAAAAATGCATTGTTTGAACTACAACACCTCAATACAGCGAGTGTTTAAAAATAATCATTTTAAACTATGAACGCCTTAGCACAACCGTCGGGATAATATGTTGTTTAGTTTTAAAATTGAAATTACTGAAATTTGCACGTTCTCTGTAAACGTTATTGAACGTCACACACATTGCCGCTTAGGCAGTTGATGAACATCTATAAAAATACTGTACACTGAAATGATAACATTTTTTCAACTAAAATAGACTCCCAAATTCGAGTACCACGTGAAACAACGGCAAAAAAACATTTAAACATGTTTCTCCACGTGGAAGAAACGTATTGGCAAACCAATTACAATTTCATATGCGATGACTAAACGAATAACGATACACCTTACACGACGTTAAAACTTAATTAACCGTATAAATAGCAATTACTATTCGTTAATTAAGTGTTTCTAACGCGAAAGAAAAGTGTTTAAAATCATTGCGGCACAGAGAGATACGTATGGTAATTCGGTCGCCATCTTATGGTAGTTAACTGATTTAAATACTTATAATTTTATAGCGACATTCAAATTTTCTAAACAGTCGATAATTATGAGCGATAACGAGAAAAAAGAGTGTTAAATTTTTTTTACTATGAAAACGGACACGTGTTGTCGACTATAAAGTTAGCGTTAAACTATATAATTTAAAGTGTTTTGCTCCGATATAATCAACAGTTGTATTATTTAAACGTGAGCATACAGCTTTTTCTTTAAGTATACAGCTTTGCGGCACGAAGAAATAATGTCCAGCTATTGAAACGGATCTTATCATATATATATATATATATTACAGCAAAAACCGGTTAGAATATCGACTTAAGTTCAGTACAGGCAAGTATTAAAATTTTTCAGGTTCGACAATGGATAAATTTCGTTAAACTATTCAATGTAAATTGTTTGTTATAATTACTTCTTTCAATTTTTCACTGATACGTCCGATTCAGGGTATCATTGAGGGACGACGCCTGTAGATGACTCGTGTTGAAATTTGGCACAGGTCACTTGACTACAATTATATTCCGCACTGCACTGAATGTAAAATCATATAGAAAAAAGGAAATATGGTATTAAAAAATTTTTTTTTAAGAACATATAAGATACTTGTAATTTTTTTTTTTGACACCCGAGCGCCCGGTGACTAAACACGGACTCTGCGAGAAATAAAATAAAAAATTACATGCAAAAAATTGTATAAATGTGTTTACACACCCAAGTTTAGCACAAAGGGTAACGATTTTTACAATAACTTTTTTATTTTGTGTTTTACGGTAGTTTGGCTGTGTACGATTGTAGGTCAAGCGGAGACACTAACACTTACACGCAGACACATGTACTGTACACGCACGCGGACGAACGGTCGGCAAGAGAGAGAATGCAGTCAGCGATCGGAAACGCGACACGACTGAGCGCGAGGAGACTCTGTTGGCCGTCGTCGCCTGCCGACGAGAGATGGACGCCGCCACTTGGGTTACCCCCTTTTTTCTGCACAATTTTTTCGCACACGCCGCAGCCCAGCGCACATCGCCGCCGCACTTTCTTCCCCACCACGGCACCTTCGACGGACGCGAATTTTCCAACTGCGTATCACCAAAGTACCCACAGCCATAGTTCTGTTTACACGCACGATGCAAAACTCACCCGACAGAATGGATTCTGGTCACGGTAAGGTCGTCCCGCCTGTCGCATTACACTTTTCGTTTTATTTTAAGTCTTCACGCTCACCTTTGTCCAGAACGGCGTTTGACGCCGGCGGCCTATCTATACACGCAGTGATACCATCGGTCAAATACATAACTGCTTCTTTGTAATGGTTTTTTTAAAATTTAATCTGTCCGAATTCAAGAAGTCAACATCGATTGGATTTTCTGGACGAATTAGCATACGTAAAATCAATAGAGTCCAGTTTGTTAATGTTGTATGCGTAACGTTGACTCATTTTAAATTAGTATATAAGACAGCTCGTGGTTTTCGGTTTAAATTTAGATATGTTATCCTTATTTAAAACTAAATTTGTAATTAGAAGCTTCTTTTTTAATATGCAATTATTTGTTTAGTTCAAAAAGAGTAATAAAATTCAAAAGATATTAGCAAATGAAGTGACATAATTAGACCAAAACTTTTACATCGTTTGCTATTTTGTTGGCAAATAAAATTATCATTGTAATAATCAATGATCAAGTTTTATTGCTTAATAACTTTCTGTAGTTAAATTTCTTTATAAGAAATTGAAACATTAAGTTTTACTGAATGTTTGAAATACAATAGGTATGATTAATTAAAAGTTAAATAACCTTTATAAAAATAGTCTTGGTAGTGTCCATACTTATGATAATATTAAAATATATTACATAAATACGAGTGATGGGTACGATATAGTCTTAAATATCGACGTTTTTTGGATATTGGAAATATTAAAATCGCTTTTATAACGTATCATATAAAAAAAAAAAAAACAATTTTTTTTAAATTTCAATGTTCTAACTGACAATATCTATCACTTATAACATTCAACGAATGTACTAATAAATATTTAATACAAAAGAATTATTCACCACATTTTATTAATTATAAACTAATGGATTATTCATACGTATAAACTCATAATCACAATTGATATTTTTATTCTACCACAGTATACTATTTCACCATGGTGACATGAAATCTGAAAATATACAAACAATTAATTGAAAATAAAACAATTTTAATACTACGAAACGTTGAACCATGAGACAATTTGAAGGGTTGAACTACTTCATTGTTCATGTTATTTGTTTGTAGGCGAGAAAAGTAACAAGGATCAAAAAGTATGAACTCTAATAATAGAATGTCGAAAATTGATGTATTTAAATTTTAACTTAATTTATCTGAAATAGCAATTATGTATTTTATAAAACAAACAATTTCCTTTTGATACTGAATGCTTTCGTGGCGGAACCTTTGATACTTAAATGTTTATGACTACATTAAAACTACTATCAGCGCACAGGTTAGTGGTCTCCTTATATGTGTTTATAATATATACAACGATATATAAACAATATTGTTTGAGTTTCCCTATTGCACAGTTTCGATACTTTGGTGTGACTTAGCAGAGCTTCTCTACTTAAATTTTTTCAACTCAAAAATTGCCTACCGTATACATCAGTCAGTTTAACAGATAATTAAAATAACTCTATACATTTTTGATTCGATATAATTTATCATTTTTTACGTTAATTTTTCGAGAAGAATGTTTAATTATTATTATTAATTCAAATATTGATGTGTTTACATTTAAACATAATTACACGAAATCGACGATATACATTGATACAGTTTTCTTAATAATTTTTATTCGAGAGTATTTATTGTAAATAATTACGTGTTACGTTATTTATCAAAGTGTATGAGTGACGTCTATAGACATTTTTTAAGACCGGTTTTTAATTGTTCACTATAATAGTAGTTTCGAAAACATTACTATACTGAAGACGATATAATATTAAATAACCCTTAGAATTAAAATACAATTAAGCAATTATTTCTGTATTTTGCAAATAATTAAATGACTTTACTATGTAAAATAAAGACAAAATTTATGCTTATTGACAGTACTGTCTTGAATATCAAATACACATGTAAAAAGTTACTGAACATAAAAAAAAAACTTGCCATTTTTTATAGAAATTTTCTTTTCTTATAATTGCAATGTATCTATCAATCACGTTTTGTCGAAAAAGTTCAAATATTCTATGTTAATAATATATTTATATGGTTTTAATGTTTTTTATACCCTCTTACTGGTGTTGACTTGTGGTAGCAAAATATTCGAAAGTTACAGACCGCAACAATTAATGAAAAGAGTAATTTTTCGGAAGACATATTATAATGTTATTGTAAAGATAAATATTTAATCATATTATAGTACTTTTACTCTTTACATGTTCACAGTCATCTCCCAGGTTTGAAAACTGTATAAGATTAAATGAACAAATTTTTTACAATTTGTGTACACTTAACAGTTATTCAAGTGTAGTAAATATTTCTTAATGGTGTTGAACCGTAGAAACTATTAACGTCATACTTGTATTATGTGTTTGAATATGCGAACAGTACGTTCCTATGCATATCACGCAGACGCTAAGTAAAAGAAACGCTATGGAACAAATGACTTGTTATATTCGTGTAAACATAACCTACAGTAATCTTAGTAGTGGTTTATAGATTGTCGTCGTTATGGTACCCACGAATTAATTATAATTGGCGAGATTCAAGTTGTGACGTATGCCAACCAGAAGAGTTTAAATAAACAACAATGTTGAGTTTTAAAATACATCCATGTAATAGTCATCTATAGAAGACTAGTTGTAGATTTAACAGTTGAGTAAAAATGTAATGTTGTTAGTGTGTAAATTTATGCGTTAACTTTTGATTGTGTGCTTGATCTTGTACACATTAGCGAAGGTTTAAACGAGAGATGAGGACAAGAATTAACTTCCATCAAAAGAGAAACGGCTTCCGTCTAGTGAATTGACCGACACTTCCGGTAGCTTTTTGTGAACGCATACAAGTAAATCTTTGTTTACTACCGTTCAACTGTCAATAGAAAACAGTTATACTGTTAAAGCTGAAATTCGACTTGTAAGTTAACCATAAAAATATTCGTCCCTTCAAGTTAAAATAAATATTTTATTTCTCGACCCATCTGTTCATGTAAACATATAAAAATATTTCGGTGAGAAAATTTGTGCGACAGTTTAAATAGGTTTTATGATACAAATATTGTTACGTCTCTGTAAACTGACCTGTACATTTTTCCAGGGACTTGAGTGCCCGGGATCAAAGTCTCTCACATTTTTTGATTCTAATTTTATTTTTTAAATGCTGTGTCATCAAAATGGCACCCACGATTTTTATGCTGTACTGATGGACAATATAATATTCTTATCTGCTTATCAGGTTATATGTTGATACTATTAAATTAAATTATACATTTTATTTGATTATTACTAAATCGAACTAAAATTGATACTAATAAAATGAAAAAATTCAATTACACCTATTGATTGTGCAAAGTTTTCGGTAACACAAAATTTAACCGAAGTACGTTTATACATTCTCAATAATATTGATAATGACGTTATTATAATGTCAAACAGTTTTACACGTATATCAGTCACAACTTTTTAGTCAAGAAAGATGTAGACGGTTTTCTCTATGCTTCGCGTGTGTTTACAAAGATCAATAACAACTTAAAACTAATTATTGACAACTGTATTTATAAGTATAGTTATTATCCGAGAACAACAAACAAAAATCAAACGTATTAAAGTTTTCTAATTATTACATTACACAGTGGACTCCCCGGCTATGAGCGCTGTGAATTGTCAAGAATGACACTCCGTTTTTTGTGATATTCTAAAGTATAATAGAAAGTTAGCGAGTGTACAAATCAATGAATTATCTTTTTGCATTAATGATAAAAATTTAATACGCAACAGCAAAAATGATTGAAGTTTATTTTAGCCAATCACTAACGTTACGATTTACACCACTCTTTTGTGATGTTCTGTACTAGAGTAGCGGAAACTGTTGCAAAAAAAAAAAAAAAAACAAGAATGACGAGATAATAATAATTATGAATAACAAAAGGTAAAAAATGTGTGCAATTTTTTGTGTTTTTTCTATGGAATCGGACATCCGGTAAAAAAAAAAAAGTATAAACGTGGTCGACAATGAACGGCTGTAGCTTGACATTGTCGAACACCTCTTAAACAAAGTCCACGATGAGAGCAAATTATGACAACCCGTATTATCATAAATGGTTTGTATACCTAATTTCCTGCTATGGTAGCCACGATGTACTGCGGTAGCCAAACGAATAGCGTTTTGTACACGAACATACAAACTTTCAAAACAATTTCTAGTCGAGTGTATGACAAACACTTCGAACAATAAAAAGACGACTGATACAACTACTACTGTGTATCATTTTGAAAAACATTTTTATATTGAAATTTTCTTATTAATATTTATGCAAAATACTTTGGTTATTATTATAAAATCGAATTCGCGGACAAAACTACGAGTAATGATATAACAGTACAATCCACAATTGTTCGCTGATCGATTTTATAATAATAACCAGTGAGTTTAACATGAGTGGTAAAATAATATTGTAACAATATACTCATATCAAAATAGTAATTGGGAAATGTAAAATACCTTCCGGGATCGCTTGTGTCAAGGATAAAAGGATGTATGTGTAAACAAGAGCAAATTAGACATCATAAAAATATACATGCAGTTATGTTTTCACCATGCCAAGGCATATTACATTGAACTTGGCCGTTTACTTGATTGGTTTTTGACGTATGGAATATATTTTGATTGGAAAGTTAAGTGATTTCTTAGCCGACAGT